AGCTAGACCACCAAAGAAAACCTGGAAGTACTGGACGGCCGTTTCGTCCCATTCTGGGACTCCTCAGCGGTGCACATCAACGATCTCGCCTCGAGAGCTTCGGACCAAGGACGCTTAATGCTCTTGAGCTTCTGACAGAACACTGTTTCCAAGCATTTCGACCATCACGTACAAACTACATCAACCAGAGCGTCATCTTTGATTCAACCGGACCCTCAGAATTTAAAATGGGCCTTGGTTTTGTATATCAGAAAGTGCAGCATTTAGGCAAGTACATTTCACCCCAACGGGATGTGGTTCACTCTACTATATTGAGAGATGAAGCCTTGATCTTGCTTATTCCATCTGAGACATGTTGCTAACTATGAGTACAACTTAAGTAACTCCCATTTAACGGAACTGCAATTTGAAAAACATCTCAGAGTGTTGGTACACCACGATCTGAAACCTTACGCTAACTGCGGGGAAAATGCCTTTCGAGAAAATCTTGCAATAGAATCGTTGAAAAACATTGTTGACCAGTTTGACAGTCAAAGTTTACACATAAACCTCAACAGTTTTATTTGACCCCTTTTAGAGCATTGAAACACAAACATAGGGTTGACACCCTAGAAACTGGAGACACAACACAGCAGAACGTACTCCAGTCACACCTTCTACTCCTTAAGAGTAGTCAAATTTTGGAATTCGCTGCAGGTTGAGTATGTAGTAAAATTGTGGAATTGTGAACTGATTCGTTATTAGTACTATTATGATAGTAGACCTGATCCTAAGATTGCAGATTTGTCATGAGAACACATTAAAGCTGGAGATAGGACAATATATTTAATATGAATAACAGGAATAAGTTGCACATGAATGACCACGTCTGCAAGACTGAGCTATGCCAATCGATAAATTGAATTATTATAATTTTTTCTTCCCGCCTTCGACATCGTAGGGCTTTTCCCCGCATTAGATGATGAATAACTATTTTCCAAGTTGTCTCGTGTTCAGCTTTGAGGATTGTGCAGTTAGTGCACAATGCCACTACAAACCGTCTGATTTAAGGTTCAGTTGTGTAAATTGTATAATGTGTGGGTCGGACCCCGAAATAATACGCGCGCATGGTTTGGAAAAGCTCGGAGGATATATCCGTATCATCTTACCTCATAACTCTAAAGGAGTTCATGCTAAAATTCATAAGAATAGGTAAGAGAACCGATGAATGTTGAACCCTAATCATGTAGCCTACTTAACGTAATCCAAGGATCAGAGAAACAACATAATCTTCTGTTAAGTAGCGCTCGTGGTCACTACTATACCGACATTCCAGTAAGACCTTATATGTCTCTTGAAGGTAGAATAAAAAGGAAGACGGCAATAGCTGAACTAGAAATCGGTCGACAAAATGGTGATGATAATCTCCAATTAATGTGTTTTGGAATAGTCAGGTCTTCAAAGTGAATGCTGCCGAGGCCTGTGTCGATAGGCCATTCTCCCTAGGAGTTTTGTATGCCAGTGCTCGTAGTCTAAGAAAGTAAATTCCACTAACAAGGATCATCACTGGACTTATTAAGGCCATTCATTGTAGCTGTGACGGAAACTTGGTTAGTTCATGCCTTCGACATTATCCCAGCATTATCCGGATACCACTACCTAAGGAATGTTATATATAGATGTAGGAAAGGGGTGGCGTCTCCTTATACAAAGCCAATAATATAACTATCTGCTCCCCCGTCTACGAACTTGTGAAGTCATTAGCTGTGAGCTCACTGTCGGGTGTTGTGCATTTGCACTCAGTGTCATCTATCGCAGCCCAAACTGCTTAGCTGATGACTTTATTTTAGAGCACATTCAGCTATGGAGTGAAAATAACAGATGCTTGATATTAGGAGACTTTAATGCACCTGACATTAGTTGGAGTGAAATGGTCATGGTAGGATCTATAAAGTCCTTTGATAGTAGGGTCCTGGTAACACTAATGGGGGATACATTAGTACAGCATGTATCCAAACCTACACGATTTGGTGTATACCAAGGTTCTTCTCTGTTGGACTTGGTAATCACTAATGCGACTGAGGATATTGTCATCCGAAATATTCTTCCACCGTTAGGGAATAGCGGTCATGTTGTTTTGTCATCCATGTTTAGAGCTAGTGACATGACATATGGTAGGATTAAGCCTCGCCCAAATGTATGGAGAGCTAACATATCAGCCATTCAGGAGTGTGCTGCTAGAACAGATTGGTCAATAAATACTAGCCCATCACTTGAAGAAGCGTGGTCTATATTTGAAGGTTAGTTTATTTCATTACGTCTTCGTTTATGCCATACCTAGCACAACATAGACCAGATAACACTCCAATATGGATAACCAAAGAAGTCAAGAAACATTTTAGACGCAGGAAAAAGCTCTGGAATATGTTCATCTCTCCTGGCTTAGAACAGTACAGATCTAGTTATCTTTAAATTGAGGATGCTTTTAAAGCGATAATAAGGCTAGACGGTCATATCAAAATTTGTTGTTCGGGGATCGTAAGAATAGTCCGAAACGGTCATTATCGTAACTAAAAAGTGAACTAAGAGTAGTGATAGAGATCAATCACCTTTGGTGCAAGACAATCCGTTACCGAAAAAGCTGAAGCTTTATCGAGATATTTTAGTCGTTTTTTCTATCAGTGATGGGGAGCGACAAACGACTAATTGTTACAGTGTCGGCTTGTTGATGATCCCTGTTATTATTGAAAAATGTGCTGTCTTCAGATTACGTCAGCATCTCAAACCTGATAAGTCTATCGGTCCTGATGATATTCATTCCATGATTATGAAAGCCCAAATGGATTGCCGAACCTATAGCTATACTGTATGATATGTCCTTGTGGCAGTCCGGAATGCCAAGAGACTGTAAAGATGCAATAATTGGTCCGGTGTATAAGGCGGGAAGTAGAGATTTAGTAACTATAGATCCGTTAGTCTAACCACTGCACTTGCAAAACTAATGGAAAGATTATTCGGTTGACTGTTATAAACTCTATGGAAGGGAATAATCTTTTACCCAGGAAACAACATGGCTTTTGGAAAGGTCTATCACGTTGGGCAAATCTGTTCATTGCAAGAGAAGATTGGGCTGCGGCAAAAGATGGAAATATTCCTGTAGATGTGATTTTCATCGATCTAGGTCAGGCCTTTGATAAGGTCTCCCATTCGGGACCAATATTATGATTAGAAAAATTTGAAATCAATTATTAGGTCATGGAATGGATAAGGGATTATGTAAACGACAGAGAACAGATTGTAAGAATAAATGAAGCTATCGCAGCGTGGAAACCTGTAAAAGGTGGAGTTCTACAAGGTACAGTCCTCTGTCCTCTTCTCCTTTTACTGTGTGTAAATGAATTACCAACTGTAGCAAAGTCAATCATTCTACTCTTCGCCGATGAAAAAACTTTTGCGACCCATTCACAGTATGCCAGATAGAATAATAATATGGGATGCATTATATGTGAAAAAATTATAATTGAAATAGTTTCAGCGTTTGAAATATGAATAATTCCAACGTTTCGTCCAGCTAACTTGTCTGGGCTTCTTCAGGGAAATAATCAAAATCAAAATCATCAAAGAAATATATAGTGCTTTTTAACAATCATATCAAAATCTCCACTACTTTTTTGGTATGATTGTTAAAAAACATATATTTCTTTGATGATTTTGATTTTGATTATTTCCCTGAAGAAGCCCAGACAAGTTAGCTGGACGAAACGTTGGAATTATTCATATTTCAACCGCTGAAACTATTTCAATTATAATTTTTTCACATATAATGAATTCTCTATATGCGGCGCCCAATTATTGTCAAACTATTCGTTCTAACCTTGACGAATATTCGTATAAATAATATAGGATGATCTCAATTAGTTGGTGTCATGGATGAACGGATGTTCATAAGAAGTAATTCATAGCAAGAGTGTGGTGATGCGATTAAATAACTTTGATGATTCGCATCACTACACAATGCGTGGAGTTGTTTTACCTAAATTAACAAATTATAAAGATTTTGGAGTCATAACAAGCAGCGATTTCAAAACTACTAGTAACTGTAAGGCTGCTGCTAAATTCCTTAGGGAAATACAGGCTAAACGTAGGTCTTTTCAGTATTTGAATGAAGAAACATTGAAATTATTAAACCCTAATTTCGTGCAACCGCATTTGGAATATGGGATCCAAGCAGCAAGTCTTTGTTTCAATTATGAGGCGGATATGGAGGAGAGAGTACAATGACGAGGGACCGAGTTTGCGAAAGGTCTCTCCGACCTTTCTTGTGAAGACAGACTGAGACACCTCAACCTATTTCCGTTATCTTACCGTAGATTACGTAGTGATCTAATAATGGCTTGTTGTATACTGTTGTATACTGATGACCGTAGTAGTAATATGTTCCATCTCTTTCTTCCATCTAAGACTGATTATTTGAGAGCACATTCCGAGAAAGTTCAAAAATTGAGATCAGTCTGTTTACATAGGAAGTTTCGTTTCTCTCACAAAGTAGTGAATTAATGGAATTCTCTACCAGAACACGTAATATCAGAACCTTTTAATGATATATTTGAAAATAGATTAGACTTCTACAATGTTGCGAAATGCAAGGATTAATATGGGTCGATTGACTTCTTACTCATATTACTGAAGACTGAGGTGACAGTCAAATAGGTGTATGAATTATTGTTTCACTAATTTCAAGGATAGTATTGTCATGCAGTTACAAAAGTACATACAAATGATAAAAAACGAGATGATCCATCAACAAGTCAAAAGAAGAGCATATCTAGATTGGCAATAGGCTGCGACCGCTTACTGGGTCATTTCTATCTGGGACTAAAGTCAAGATGTTTATTCACTTTCATAGTTGTTGCTACGCTCTTGATTACTTAAGGCTACTCTATTGTTACATCACTGTATGTTAGTTGCCTGTTTAAGGCCTTTTACATTTTACTTTTACTTTAGCACACATACATGTACTTCTTATAGTAACGTTTAGGCGCTCATTTTGAACAGTTTGCATGTTTTCGCGCGTTTGTTATTCACATTACTTCATCACCTCTTATAGTACATTATCTGTAACTTTAAATCTGTTCTTCAAGTTTGAGGCATTACTTTGGTAATTTATTTTCAAATAATAAGCCCATTTTATCGGCATTTTATTATGAATTTTAACAAAAATATATTTGAGTTGTAATTACCGTGTTTAAAGATTTCAAAAACATTCAGGCAAATCGTTACAGGACTTAATTTGTTTTCTGTGTAAGTTTATTATTTATGGTCTTATTTCCTTGCATGAAATTTTTGTTTTCGCTTTGGTTTGACTATTTGCCCCATTACGCATAATATATACTGTTAAACTAATCTTTGTCGTCGACCCCTTATTTTCCACCGTTCGGCAGGATATAAGTTCTCGGCGCTGAAATCATTAGGTATTACGAGTTAATATTACGCTTCAGCTTTCTGCAGTAAAATAAAAATTAGGAGTCTCTGAGAACACCATTGCTCATAACCTTTATACTTGATCATAGTGTCACATCACTGATGTATGCTATAGTTTTCATTTAGAGGAAAAGAGACCTAAATGTTATGTAATAATCTCGGTGGTTTAGGTTGATAGATTTAACCACTTTACTTTTCAATGAGTCAACACGTGGAGATTCACCTAAGTGCCATGGTGTAGTAGAACGATTGAATAAACAATAGTGATGATAGTTGTGATGTTCACAATAGATATCATACATCGATAACCTAAATGTTTCATGCACATGTCGTGAATGCCGCCGACTACTTGAGTATATTTCTTTCTCTAACTTAATTTGAAACATTACGAAGGATAAAAGCAACAAGTTATTGATCAGACTGTAAATTACTGTTAGTTTTATTCGCCTGAGTCAGTTTACATATCTTACTGTGATCCTCCAAGTGTCTCTGATAAGTATTCAGATATATAAGGTAGTTCGTTATAAAATTGGCGTCAATTACACAAATGATTTCTTGTCCATTTTAAGCCTTGGGTATCATGTAACTCCCTACCTTTTATTTTAAGTTTTACTAGTGCTTTTTACTTTCTTATTCATGTGCAGTAGTGCACTTGTTTTTCTCCGCATTTATCCAACCTGTTTCACTGTGGATTCAAGATAGTCTAACGAAATACTGTGGTATATGCTACTTGTGTCTGTCGACATAAGCAGTATCTACCACCAATCGGAAGTGGAAATCCTAGCAGCAGAAGGCTGAAAAGCCCGAGTTGAGGAGAATGGAGATGAAGGTGAGAAGAAATCGTGAACCGGAAGAAAAATACGGAATGTGCAAGCAAATGATGGAAATTTGCAAATGAAATATTCAGTGTATGGCTCTCATATTTTACCAAGAGATTCTCTAATTTTATATATAAATACGGCCAGTAGTCCTCAGCCTGTGATCTTGTTCATTATAATACTGCTAATCCCATCCGGTTTGTAACTTAGATAAAACACACGTAAGAGCCTGAATTCAAAGTACACAGTACAAAGTTGTATTTCGTTTCTGTAACTGAACGACAAACAACATAAAATATTTAATTGTACAATGTATGTATTAGTTATTTACCACAGTTATATGTGTCTTGATTTATAAGTGAACACACTACGTTTGGCACACAATACATCCTCGAATCTGATTATGCAAAGGATGTAATTTTATTTCAGGGCAGCTGACAATTCACTTAAGTTCGGATTATTCACGTGGCATTAATCAGTGGCAAGAGTATGATTTATGGTTTACAGTGATTCTTTGGAAAAATATTTTGTTGGACTTCTGCATGACTATTTCCCCATTGAGTATGATAGGCTGTTTTTCAGAAATAACCAAAACATTTGTATATCTAAGTATTTATACGAAAAGTTTCAGTATGTAATCTGGTGACCTGACGGTTAAAATAATTATTAATCTTTAAAAAGGAGAATATTTATACACTTAGTAACGTCTTATGCTTCCATGTTTACAGATTTTATGTATTTTTAATCGTAGTAAACTGTCGCTCAAACATAATTGATAGTCGCATTAAGGTTATAAATAATTCGTTTTACTTATATATCTTATAAATCTCATTCTACCCACTGGTAATTATTTTTCTCCGAAATCTAGGAAATAGCCTATTGTTGCTGTTCAAGACGATACCATTAATGAAGTTTTAGCATATGCAGTCTTATTTTTTAGAAGTAATATCTTAAAGTTCTTCATACGTCATTTTGTAACTGGTCATTTCAATCCCAGATTTTAATGCTGAGTAAGTGGAGATTACCTAGATATAAGTTATCACACCAAGAATATTCGTAAAAAGCGGTTTCTCGCTTGAAACGGCATCTTACTATTTCGAATGGCATACTCTTTAAAATACACTGATTAATCATTTGAGCGTACGTTGTAAGAGGTCTCTTTAAATGCAAAGCACTGCGTATAACTTGCCTGATGTTTAAATATACTAGTTCTTGCTTTTTCAGCTCGAACTTTAGAAATCATTTATTTATTTGAAAGATGTAAAAACGTCACGGATATTCGGGTCTTGACAACGCTGTTGTCTGTAACAGCTTTGTAATCGAGGTTCACAAGTTCGATTGGACTGGAAGTCAGGAGTGAAAGAGTTAGATGACATGCTTAGAAGATAGTCAATGTGTCGAAAAGTATGTAAGCTAAACTGATTAGTTTTTTCAAGGGATTGTCAGCACAGCGTACTCAACGGTGATCTGATGCAGATGCTTGACCGAACTAGGATGCGTCCAGTAAAACTAATGAAGTCAGCGTCAATGTCCGTTTTGAGGATTTGTTTAGGCGCTAAAAATATATGGTCATTCAAATTGACTAACTACTGTTAAATGGCTTAATAGTTTTGCAAATTATTCATTTGTTACTGATAAAAAAGCAGTTTACATTTTAATTCAAATTAATACTTTTACTTATGGGTGCTTTTATATCTTCAAGTTACTGAAAAAGTCTCATTTTGTGATGGCAAATCACTTTTTCTACGGCCAATCGGTGGGAAAAAATCGTAAAAAACATAGAGTTTTGTTCATCGTTGTTATCTGCATTGTTATGCTTACAGAATTTTGGGTGATAAGTAATGATGATAAATATCTTGTGAAATATAAGGTACGTTTCATTTGTGATGTGTTAGTTAATTATTGACGTTTTTGAACCCAATAATTTTATAAAGAGCATATATTTAGTTACTGAGGCATCCAAACAAAAGTTTATATTGACTTCAAGATATTCTAGTCATTAGGTGACAAAAGTAATTATTAAACTCGAAAACTTAAAATCAACGACTGTTTGTACCTGGAAAATAAACATCAGTTATAAAATATATCTGGGGATAAATCACCTGATTTCATCGCCTGATTGCCAAAGTCCGATTAAGAAATGTATGTAGTTTGTACTGCTGACTTCTACCAGAAACAAATTCCGTTTTAAATTCAATACTTAACAGTGTAACGATAGAATTAGAAATTATTCGCACAAATCTATCCAAACGTTAATGAACCCTTATTGGTATGGGAAGTTGTAATAAATATCTATTTTGTTGCAAAAACATGGACTGTCAAGACCCATAAACTTAAACACAATCAGTTTGTTAATCTTTCATTTTTCTCTCTGTAATGTTCACAGAATCTTAGGTGATTGGTACTTGGCACTGAAAAACACTACTTGACCTCCAATATATATGTATATATATATATATATATATATATATATATATATATATATCGAACTTATACATGAATACAAGTATTTAGTATGTTTATTCCACTCACACTTAATGACTATTTAACAATCATCACTTACAGGAGAATTCCGTATAGTTACTAAGAAGCTCCAAGCTACCTATCATGTTGAACGAATTTTGCGTTGAATTAATACAAAGAATATTATTTTAAATAAATATCACATTAAAGCAAATAGCTGTTATAATGATCAAGATACTATACTGAAAATAAAATAAATAAGGCGCTGAGTGATAATCATACTGGATCAAAAACGGAAGAGATACTGAACAAAAATCACATAGAGTTAAAAACGCAATTTCGTCTTTTTATCCTATCATATTAAAACCACTCCTAACATTCTGGTTACTCGTCGAGTAGCTCACCTACAACAATTAATATCATTATGGAAAATACATTTTCAGCTAATGAGTGCTATCATATCTCCAATCTTTAGTCATATTAGAAGAGTTGCTTAACTCGTTTCCTATAGTGTCCTTCCGTTCTTACAGTTTGCTACTTCAGATATTTACCTGTCAATAGAGAATGACAATATAAAGACGTATGCTGATAATTTTGATTTGCTGTATTGTAAAAAGACATTGTTTATGTTTACTTTCATGTTTTACAGATTGATAATGATAACCCTTTGCAGAAGCACACCAAGGCTTTAGATTATATTCAAAACATGAGTCTTGATGACTCGTATAGTATAGAGTTAAATAAACATGGTATGTGTTTTAAAGTGTAACTAATTAATTAAATTTTATCAGTTTAAAACTTTCGTTTGTTTTTTATTTGACATAATGTTTATCAGTAACTTATTATCACCCCATGATAATATGTAGATTTATCGTGTAAGCGATTAAAATTTGACTGACTAATTGGAATAGGCAATTCATTCGGCATACAGAATTCGTTTATCGGCTTACATTTCGATGTTTTAGGAGTTTAATATATACAATTTGTCGGAAAGTTGGGTAGTTTCTCCTGATTCTCAATAATAGTTTACGTCTTATTTTACAGTAAGAAATCGTATTAAAACAAAATCAACTACTTAGATGAAGTCGGCTTCTATTTGGTGTGATTTTCAACCTTATATTCTTATCAGTGATAGGTCTATCAGATAAAAATCAGAGTAGGTAGGACTATGAACTGTTATGAACACATGAGGGGTCATAACTTGTACATTTTCATTTAGTTCCGACTCATCCAGAAGTTCAAGTAGGTCTTCGATAGATAATCCTATTAGAGGTTAACATTTCTGTGAGGAAATGACAGGTAGAATCCAGGTTTTATTAGAGAGGTTAATTATCTGGGAATTAACGAAAAAAAGAAAATCATGTATTAAAGCATACTGTTATTTTATACTACCTCTTCATTTTCTCTTGATTCATTTTTATAGATCGATATGATGGACAGACTCAGTGTGACATTCAACATAAAGATTTAACGGGATATCCAGAATGTTTGTCCAAGATTGAAGTAAATTTTTACTCATGTTTGTTTTCTGATTACTCTATCAATTTATTCGTAGCCTATCCTTATCTCGGAAATACATTATTATTAATCAAAGTAATTAGTTTACCTTAGTTTTTAACGTCCTAGTAAATTATAAGGAATTTACTCAAATACTTGCGCTTGTTATCCCTAGTGGAACGAAGGCTACCCACCACAATTCCCCAACCAACTCTGTCCTCCGCTCTCTTCTCCAGTTACTTCCAAGTGCTATTCATTCTTCTCATGCCTGTCTCCGATTCCCGATGGAATGTAATAAGTGGTCTGCCTCTCTTCATTGTGCAGTATTAATAATAATAATAGCAATGATAAATCTAAAATATTTCGATTAAAAAACTTACAATTTGCTATGACACCGACAACTGATACCTGTCTTTTTCTGAACACAGAATTGATGTGGTTTTTTGGTGTTTATTGCTTCAAGAAAAGCGCTAAGGCAAGGACAATTCTTCTGTTAATTTCGTCGAAAAATTTATGGATCCACTAACTTTTAATTCTTTTGTTGCTCGTTGATAACCTCAAATGATTTATTACTTAGTAATCTTAGGCAATACAAGTAACTTTTTATTTATCTTATTCATAATAACCAGTGTCATTGCGTTGTATATTAATAGGGGCACAAAGCCACAAGTTATAACAGCCTCCCTTTTATCTTTGCTAAAACTATGGTTTTTTCTTTTACATTCCGCTATGTATCATTTAGTTCACTACGTATCAAGTGATTTCTATAGTTAAGATCGTGAGTCAATTGAAGCTAGACCACCATGGAAAACCTGGAAGCACTGGACGGCCGTTTCTTCCTATTGCGAGACTCCTCAGCAGTGCGCATCCACGAACCCGCACTCGCGAGATTCGAACCCAGGACCTACCAGTCTCGAGCCAGAGCCCTTAACCAATAGACCACTGAGCTGGCATCCAACGGTGTTAATGTCTAACCTCAACCAATCCACGAAATTGCGCAACCAACTTCCAATGTACTGAGGTAGATACCTGTCTCTACCTGACATGGATTAGCTCCACTGGCCACGACTTCTCACTAGAACTCCAGGAATTACCTAATGGAGCCAGTCACTAGTGGGCCCACTGCTGAGGAGTCTCGCAATAGGAAGAAACGGCCGTCCAGTGCTTCCAAGTTTTCCACGGTGGTCTGGCTTCAATTGACTCATGATCTTAACTATAAAATTACTAAAATCTACACAAAACCCCACTTGTGATGATGGTATTTCATTACTACACTGAAGGTGTAATAAGCGTCTTCCCCTTCTATCTAGACTCATTTTACATGAATTTTTATTTTATTTCAGTGGATCTTGATAGCCCTATTAGATAAAAAGCGTTTTCAAAAGTTTACAACATAATTCAGTGGAAGCTTTAGTTTATCTGTTTATCTTTATACTAACGATCAGTAGGTTACTTATCAAAGTTAGAAAAACCAGTTATCTTTCACACTACAAACTAGTCTTCATGCATGAACATTTACGAGGTCACTAAGTTTTTACTGCACTGAGTATTAGTTTAATACGACCACAAACCCGGTTCTCCTATGTTCCTTCTATGTGCATGATAAAAATACTATGATTAGCACTCAGCTATCGACCATATTTAGCCTATGTAGAACGACAGTATGTAAATAGTTCACTTTGTATTCATTTTACTTGCTTTATAGTTATATTTCTTTATGGTGAAGCTCTCCAGGAAATTCAGAATAACTCATAGACTCAGTTGAATACACTGATTGATCAATGATTTGTTATCAATGTCATCAAACTATGTTTTTGAAGTTGTAATTGGACCAATTAACTGAACGGTTCAAACTCATAATTTACTTATTAATCTGAACCAACCATTGTTAAACCCAGGCCCCCAAATGCCTTGGTACGGCCGAGAGTGGAGAGAGTCCGCTCTCCCTCGAAATGCTCTCACATGGCCACGCGTATATAGCCTCTGCCAGCGAAGTCCTACTCACTGCCTTTCCATAGCGGGGGTGTTGTCTACGAAATTGAGAGGACGAAAAGCGGGTTGGTGAACACAGAAAGTTCACCAAGGGGAGTTGGAAAACCCTGATTCCAAACCAGTGGTTCACATGGGCTCCAGTATCCTGAGAGAACAAATGGCGTATGAATCAATCGTTAGTCACTGGCTACTATGGGACTGCATCTCCTCACGATGCTCCACTGCCTCAAAGGCTCCGAATGTGGCCCCCTGAGGAAACCACCTGCTTCGTTTTGGGCACCTGGGAAGTTTCACAGCCCTCACACATACCAAATGAGAGTTGTGGGGCGCATATATATCTGGTGGCACTTTGTCCCAATATTTATGTGTTTAAATAAATAAATAAAACCTAGACTCTGAGCTTTCAACTTATTAGTGAGATTTTTTAGGTATAGTTACCAAGATTTTGATGATTCCGATTATTTGAGTATTGACCATATTATTAATAATAAAGATAATGACATATTTTAATTATCTTAATGCGTAGTAAATGAATGAGAATATTTATTCTCATAAGTGGTACTTTACATGAAGTCACGAAACGTCAGAAATGTAATTTTCTACTTTATACTAATCGTTTTCAATAATCTTATATAACATTTATAATAAAAATTAATAACTGAATGAATGTTATCTAATATTCGGTTTTCCTAGTGGTTACGGAGAAGTTGGCAAACTCATTCATGTTATGCTGAGTTAGGAGTAGATGGATCAGAATGTTCATTTTTTCGTTATCTTAGTGAGGTGAGTGTTATATTAATAAATCAATTTTCATCGATGGATTATACAATTCCTATGATCATTTTATCAAATTGAAATAAAAATTCATTGTGAATTAATTATACACTAAATGTGTAAATTACTAAAGCGAAAATTGAATTAATATTGAAATAATTCAATTAGTGATAAATAATTAAACATTATTGTTCATTGTAAGCAAAGATGGATAGTGGTTAGCATTGAAATCCAGGACGCGCGTTTCGTCCTATTTGGGACTCGTCAGATGGACATACCTGCATTTCAGAGTTGACATTCACTCTGGGACTCGAACCCCGTACCTTTCGCTTCAAACGACATCGCGTTATCCACTCGGCCACTGAGTCCTGATAGCCACTAGGTTCGAGTATCAGAGTGAACATCAACTCTGAGATGCAGGTACGTCCAGCTGACGAGTCCCAAATAGAGTGAAACGCACATCCTGGATTCCACTGCTAACCACTATCCATCTTTGCATACCATGCTTGTGAATTAAGGCTATATCGAGGCGATACGCAAAGTATGCACATGTGCCAATTAGAGACTGACCAGTTGCAGTCCTGACACATCAATGGGAAGATTCAAACAAACAATACTGAATGAATTATTGTTCATTTTTTAGAAATAAACCTCTTATTACATTTAAAATATTGATCATATTGCCCAATATTTTACTTGGCTATCAACTGCTTTATTATAATCATTTCGAATTGTTTTATTGAATACTCTTTTTGTTTATAATTTGTTTGTATTTTCAATATTATATATATATATATATATATATATATATATATATACGTGCTGCTGATGCGTACTGCTGAGGGATCCCACAATAGGACGAAACGGCCATCCAGCTTTTCATATTCGTTAAATGAACAGTCGTCGAATTCATAAGTCGATTTAGGCTAAGCTACTATTAAAAATCTGAAAGTAATGGACGCCCGTTTCTCCCCATTATGGGACTCCTCGACAGTACACAACCGCGATCCCGCACACGGGTTCAAACTCGAGAATTTCAGTCTTGCGCTCGAACGACTTTTCTCTAGACTTCTGAGTCGGCATCCAACGTTGTTAATGTCTAACTTCGACCAATCCACGATACTGCACAACATTCCACCGTGTTTTTCAGTGCTTCCAGGTTTTTAATGGTGATCTAGCTTAAATCGACTAATGAATTCCACTAACAAATTACTACAATCTCCACAAATTCCTATTCTGAACAATTGCTATTTAAAAATTTGTTTTCATTGTAATATTATTCTTTAACTTCTCAAACGTTTACTTAACGTTTTTTTATCAGTTGAAGTTTACGAAAACTTTATTACGTAATCATTTTCCTACTTTTCAGTAAACTACTATACATGTTAAACCAACAGAAAGTACGATTTTACAGGTTAAATTAATGACATCATAGAAACAAATAAATTTCTTCACTGAACTGTATTTGATTCTATATTATTGATCAAATAAGTTATTTTCATTTCTAATTGGTTGATACAATCATTTACATAAGCATAATACACTATATTTGTGTTAGGATATTCACAGGAATATCCCAAAAATTATCTCCAATGTAAAGTGGCATGTTTTCAGTCTCTTCACATATTTTACATGTTATTTCCTATTGGTTATTAATTACAGTTGTCCTAACTATGACTTTCACGTGTCGTTTTCCTATTGATCAATTTTGAGTTGTCTTAATTATAACCTTTACGTGTCCTTCCTTTCCATTGGTTACTGTTAATAGTCATCTTAACTGTATAAATATGCCTTGTCTGTAAACCATTTTTGTTCTGCTGCTGACCCCATAAACAATTCTCATTTGACGGCTGTGTTCTGATTTATTGGAGTTGGGTAACAGTATTGGCGTCGAACTAGGATATCTGAATTTGGTCAATCGGTAGAAATTCGTGTAGTCCTATCGCAATACGCAATAATTTCGCGACGTAAAAATTTGCTTGTAAAAAATTCATAATTAAGTGATTACTAAGAGGAATCAATTAGCGTTATGTTTGTTAAGTCCTTATCTTTTACATTATATACAAGATATCAACTAAATTTCAAAAACCAATACATTTCAAGTAATTCATTTTGTTGTCAAGATATTGAACAAGATACTGAACAACATTTTAATTGAATGGTTGAAAGCGTTAGTCAATTGAAGCTAGACCACCAGGGAAAATCTGGAGGCACTGGACGGCCGCTTCGTCCCATTGTGGGACTCCTCAGCAGTGCGCATCCACGACCTAACTTTGGGAGATTCGAACTTAGGACCCAGGAGTCCCACAATAAGACGAAACGGCCGTCCAGTGCTTACAGGTTTTCCCTGGTGGTCTAGCTTTAATCGACTCATGCTTTCAACTATGAAACTACTAAATCTCCACAAAAACCCCTTCTGATAATAACATTCTAATTGTCTCCCTCTTTGAATTCATTTTCATGTAAACATTTTATCTTATCATTTTGAATAGGTTGAACGTTTCTGCCCAATAATGGATAACCGAAAATTTGTAGAACATCATAGAAAAGCTCAGGTATAAATGATATAAATGTTAGCTTAATTTCAAATTATATATTTATAAGAAAATTGAATTGCTACATTACATGTTACACTCAAGTGTACTTAAAATGATTAAATACTGATGTACAATTAACTTGTTTCATTCTGAATCATCAAATTAGAACTGTGAGCTACACAAATCTTTCTGATCGTATTAGACTTTATTCTTTAGATCTTCATTTTCTGATGTTTTTTCAAGTGCAATTTATATATAACTAATTTTCTATCAGTCGTAAGGTTTTCTTTTTTCATTCGTGTGGTTTCGTTTGTAATTTACTTAGGAAACAGTAACGCAGAATATTTCGACGATTTGTAAAGGTGTGTTTATTAGATATTCATTATTTACACTGTAATTGTTTCTGGTAAGTTTCTGCAGTGATTGTGTACACATTTAGTTTCTTTAAGGAGATATATATTACTTGGATAATATACGGTTACATATTTGTTATCTTTTTCCTATTAACTGGTGAATCTGTAGTTTAGTAGTTTATTTTCAACGATTTCAGCCGAGAACATTTTTCTATTTTGCTTACTGTTATCTAAACTGTTGAATAGGTTCTGTAGACCACAAAATAAATCTTATGATAAGTTAAACAATTATTGGAAATATTATATTCACAATTTCAGGTAAACGTGTGTTACCTAATCAATTATGCTTCAGGATAGCTTGAAATTATCACCGGTTACTTACATTCAAGAAGTAAAAGGGAGTATGCATAGGGCTGTAGCAATTGTTGAGTTTCTTTAAAGTCACGGACTGATCAATGTTAGATCATCCCTGCTAACTTGGAAGCACTAAACAGTCGTTGCATCCTAGTACCCACGATCCCGCGCCGAAGGGACTTAAACCTGGAACCTTCGATCTCGCGTGCAAACGCCTAACCTCTAGACAAGTGAGCTGGAATTTAGTTACTTACCGGAGACAACGAAAGCTGGTCGCGCAATGTCGTGAATTGATTAAAGTTTAACTTATTTGCCATTGTGTTCCTGCTTAGTAGTCCAGGGGATAGGCTTTCACAGTCGAGATCGAAGGTTCTGGATTCAATTACTTTTAGTGTGGTTTCGTGGTTGTTCATTGTTTAGGAGTCTCATAATAAGACGAAACAACTATCTAGTGCTCCTGGGTTTTCAATGGTAGTTTAATATTGATTGCTTCATGATATCAACGAAAGTAGAAGGATGTTGATTAAGTGTTTTCAAGAACATTACATAAATTATTTTTGACGCACATTCATACTTTCTTTTTGAGAACTGACTTCGTTATCTAAACTTTGGTTATTACTGAGCAATTGTACCTTTCACGTTTTTTCTCAAACTGATCTTGCTTTTCAATACTTTCTTTCCCAGATAAATCGAGAATTAAAAGATCTACTTGGTCTATTATCTGCGAACAAAAACCATTTAGTATCAAACGTGTTTATGCGTGAGAGAGTAAAGCGCATTTGGCCTGACTGGCTATCAGGAATTCAACACTATATAAATGGAGTTAATTTCTCGTTGCCTGATTCACTGGATCGTTGTAAACATTGTTCTTCTGATGATATAACTTGTTTTACTCTTTGTCAGTCTACTAAAATAAAAGGTCAACCGTTTTTATTTGGAAGACCAAAACTCAATGTGAGTGTTTCACGGTTTAAAATAATTAATGTCTTTCATAAATTTAAGGAGTGCAACGAGAGCCTGGATATGGTCTTAAAAATATGACCTATTTGTAGAAAATGTACACGCACAAAGTGACCACGAATTCGCTCGTCAGTGAAGTTTATCAAGAAACTGAGAAAAATTAAATGGACAAAATTGGTAATCAAAGTCATCAGAGAAGTGGTGAATTATATAGAAGTAATGTGCAGCATCACCGTTTAGATGAAAATGAGTTTTTAAAAAATATTCAGACAGGTATTTTTATGCTCCAAGACACATTCAGGTTTGCCAGCAAACATTGAACCAGTGGGTATCTGAGTTGGCATCCTGTGGAAAATAAAGAAGACTTGATAATAATTTTTTTACCTGAATGTAACGGCATGACCACGAGATACAAAGTACTTGGCTCGTTCGCTGAAGGGAGGTACACACTGCCGAACAGTCTCACACTAGTATGAGGCAGTTATTCAAACTCACGCGGTTCTAAATGTCACTTCAGCTGATGTCAGCCAGTGAGGAAACACAAGACAGGTTATACTAATCTCCAGAAAATCTCTCAACCAAAATCTATTACTTTTATTTACTTAACCCTTCTCAGTTTTCATATGAAATATCATGACAAGTAAAGCATTATTATTGAATTGTTTTATGGGCAAATACACCATATTTTTCGGGACAATTCTGTGTTTCATTGCGCCTGTTACTCCCAATGGAGCATAGGCCGCCGACCAGCTTTCTCCAACCCACTCTGTCCTGGGCTTCCTTTTCTAGTTCTATCCAGTTCTTGTTCATTCTTCTCATGTCTGTCTCTATTTCTCGGCGTAATGTGTTCTTTGGTCTTCCTCTTCTCCTTTGACCTTCAGGATTCCATGTGAGGGCTTGTCTTGTGACACAATTAGCTGATTTCCTCAAGGTGTGCCCAATCCACTTCCAGCGCTTTCTCCTGATTTCTTCCTCCGCTGAAATCTGGTTCGTTCTCTCCCACAGTAACTTATTGCTGATAGTGTCTGGCCATCGGATCCGAAGTATTTTGCGTAGACAGCTGTTGATGAACACTTGTATCTTCTGGATAATGGCTTTCGTATTTCTCCACGTCTCCGCCCCATACAGTAGAACTGTCTTGACATTTGTATTGAAAATTCTAACCTTGGTGTTGGTTGACAATTGTTTTGAGCTCCAGATGTTTTTCAGTTGTAAGTATGCTGCTCTTGCTCTGCCGATCCTTGCCCTCACATCTGCATCTGATCCACCGTGTTCATCAATGATGCTGCCCAGATATGTAAAGGTTTCCACATCCTCCAAAGCTTCTCCGTCAAGTGTAATTTGATTGGTGCATATTGTATTGTATCGGAGAGTCTTGCTTTTCCCTTTGTTTATATTGAGACCTACTACTGCTGAGGCTGCTGCTACACTGGTCTTTTTCTCCTGCATTTGTTGTTGCGTTTGTGATAGAAGAGTCAGATCATCCGCGAAGTCTAAATCGTCAAGCTGCATCCTGCCTGTCCACTGTATCCCGTGCATTCCTCCATATGTTGACGTCTTCATAATCCAGTCGATGACCAGGAGAAAGAGAAAGGGTGAGAGTAGGCAACCTTGCCTAACACCGATCTTTACTTCAAACGAGTCGGTGAGTTGTCCTCCGTGGACAATTTGGCAGTTTAGTCCATCATAGGAGATCCGTATGATATTGACTATCTTCTCAGGCACGCCGTAGTGTCGTCCTGTCCACCCTATCAAATGCCTTCTCGTAGTCAATGAAGTTGATGTAGAGTGATGAGTTCCATTCGAATGATTGTTCCACAATGATCCGCAGAGTTGCGATTTGATCTGTGCACGATCTATCCTTACGAAATCCAGCTTGTTGATCTCGAAGTTGGGCATCTACGGAATCCTTCATCCTGTTTAACAATACTCGGTTGAAGACTTTTCCTGGTATTGAGAGAAGAGTGATGCCCCTGTAGTTATCGCACTTGCTAAGATCACCTTTCTTTGGTATTTTGATCAGAAGTCCTTTTTTCCAGTCTGTTGGTACTTGTTCTTCGTTCCAAATCTTACTGAAGAGGATGTGGAGTATCTTGGCAGTTGCTGTTACATTTGCTTTCAGTGCCTCTGCCGGGATGTTGTCTGGTCCCGCTGCTTTGCCACTCTTGACTTGTCTAATGGCCATTCTGATCTCTTCAATTGTTGGTGGGCCAATATCGATTGGGAGGTCCGTGGGTGCTGCTTCGATGTTGGGTGGGTTCAGTGGAGCTGGTCGATTCAAGAGTTCTTTGAAGTGTTCTACCTACCTGTTTCGTTGTTCTTCAATGTCGGTGATTACCTTGCCTTCCTTGCTTTTCACTGGTCTTTCTGGCTTACGGTAATTTCCAGCAAGTTTCTTTGTTGTATCATACAATTGTCTCATGTTTTCTTCTCTTGCAGCATTTTCCGCTGTCGTTGCTAAATCTTCCACATATTTACGTTTGTCGGTTCTGATGCTCCTCTTCACTTGCTTGTTTGCCTCTGTGTATTCGGCTTGTGCCTTGGCTTTTTCTGCTCTTGTTCGGCTGATGTTTATTGCTGCTTTCTTGTCCCTTCTTTCTTCAATTTTATCCAGTGTACCAACAGTGATCCATTCCTTGTGATGGTGCTTCTTTTGGCCCAGAACCACTTGACACGTTGAAACGATTGCCTCCTTGATACCTTTCTAGTTGCTCTCCATGGTAGTCCCCTCTCCATTAAGTAGGTCATGAAAGGCCTGGAACCTGTTTCTGAGGGCTATGTTGAGTTTGTCAGCATCTCGAAGAAAGGCCGTATTAAACTTTTGTGATGTTGTCCGCACCGTTGTCCAGTGCTTCTTGAGTTTTAGTTTCATCTTGGCAACCAGCAAATGATGATCGGATGCTATATCAGCTCCTCTTCTGGTTCTCACATCCTCCATCGTCCTCCTGAACTTTTTGTTGATGCAGATATGGTCGATTTGATTCTGTGTAATGTGATCCGGTGAAATCCAATTGGCTTTGTGTATGTTTTTGTGTGAGAATATGGTGCCACCTATGACCAGTTTATTGAAGGCACATAGGTTTGCAAATCTCTCACCATTTTCGTTCCTTCCTCCCAGTCCATGTTGTCCCTGGACGTTTTCATATCCAGTGTTGTCCATTCCAACCTTAGCATTGAGATCTCCCATCAGAATTGTCAGGTCCTTGGTTGGGCACTTCTCGACGATCGACTGCAGCCTATCGTAGAATTGGTCTTTAGCGTCTTCATCGTAGTCATTGGTAGGCGCATAGCATTGGATGACGTTCATTGTAATGCCCTCTCTCTTTGTTTTGAAGGAGGCTTTGATGATCCTTGGTCCATGAGATTCCCATCCTGTAAGTGCATTTTGTGCTTTCCTGGACAGCATCAATGCAACTCCTTGTGTATGTGGGGCATTTTCTTCTTCATGACCGGAGTATAACAGAAGTTCTCCTGAAGACAGTCGTTGTTGTCCAACCTGCGTCCAATGTGTTTCGCTGATTCCAAACACTTCTAGGTTGTATTTTCTCATTTCTGCAGCAATTTGGAAGACTCTTCCGGTCTCCCACATTGTTCGGACATTCCATGTACCTATAAAAATTGTCGCTCTGGTTGTAAGAAGGTGCATCGGCCTCATGACTTCCGAAGGAGCTCGGCTTTCATCATGAGACGTCATAATTATTCCTTCCACTCCCAGGGCAGAGTTTGAAAGGTTTGAATGATTTTTTCTGGTTAACGTTTTTTTAGCGAGTTGATTTTCTACGGGATGGGGTCGCTAACCCCATGCCCAACCCTCCTCCTTTACCCGGGCTTGGGACCGGCAGTAACCCCCAGAGGAGCTACAGGCGGAGTTCTAATTCTGTGTTTACAGTTACTGAAATAGTTACACTTTACGATTTCCTTTCTTTAGAATCACTGTACAACTAACCTTTGTATTTCCTTATGCTGTTTATTGTAATAATAGTTTTTAAAAATATGGCTATCTAAATAATTAATTTTGGTAAACTAGGTTCTGAGTTAGGATACTTTCAGCCGTGCAGCACAGTGTTTAGTTGGGATACACATTGCTTATGAATAGTGTAACCTATTCAGAATTACTATTTACTGCAGTTGGTTGTAATAAGTCATCTCTTACTTACTCCAGTTACTCTTCGTGGAGAAGCATAGGCCTCCCATAAGCATTTTCTATCCATCTCTGTACTGGACAATCTTTTCAAGTTCTTTCCAGTTACCAATCATCCTTTTCATGTCTGATTCCGATTCACGAAGCAATAAGTTATTAGCATATAATTCCCATTTAAACATTAAAATTAAAAACACGAAGTTCAGCGAAGGGATCTCTTTTCAACGAATTTATTATCAAGCTGTACAATCGTATATATATATGAAAAGGTTTTGTTAAAGTACTAATTCCGTGAGGAAATGTGAACATTAATAACCAAGATTATAATACTAGATTACGTAATACGAATAATAATAACAATAGATTTAGTGAATAGAATAAGATTATTAAAATGTTTTGGTTACAATAATTAAAGGTCAATGAAGGTCATAGAGGTGTAAAAATAAATAAGGGGATGTGGTGCGTATTCATGAATAAAATAATGAGAATATAAAACATAAGTAAAGGGGGAATTGAGTAATAGTAATAATCATCATAATAATAATAATAATAGAATGATACTAATAATAATATTAAGGCCACAGTCTGATTTTAAGGTTGTTTATGTGATTCGTTTAAATCTACCAAGATTTCTTCGTATCAAACTCTTAAAAATAGCCGAAGCTCTTATCATCCACGAGCTCAAACCAGAACTATGCGTATAAAAGAAGTACGTTTTATCATTATCGTTACCATGGCCTTAATATTATTATTAGTATCATTCTATTTTTATTATTATTATTATTACTCCACTCCCCCTTTACTTATGTTTTATATTCGCATTATTTTATTCATGAATACTCATCATATCATCATCTTATTTATTTTACACCTCTATGACCTTTAATTATTGTAACCAAAACATTTTAATAATCTTATTCTATTCACTAAATCTATTGTTATTATTATTCGTATTACGTAATCTTATTATTATTATTATCTTGGTTATTAGTACTCACATTTCCTCACGGAATTAGTACGTTAACAAAACTTTTTCATATATATATACGATTGTACAGCTTGGTAATAAATTCGTTGAAAAGAGATCCCTTCGCTGAACTTCGTGTTGTTAATTTTAATAAGTTGTTTCCCACCTCACTTCACGATTCAAAGTCAGCAGTTGCCTCGTGATGCAGTTGGATGGTTTACTCAATGTATGTCCTATCCACTTCCGACGTCTTTTCAGAATTTCCTCTTCAACTGGAATCTGGTTTGTTCTCTCCAGTGCGAAGTTGTTGCTAACGCTATTCAGCTAAAGGATATCGAGTATCTTGTGTAAAGAATTGTTTAGAAATACTTGTACTCTTTACATGATAGCTGTAGTAGTTCTCCAATTTTCAGCTCCATACAGTAGAACTGTCTCGACATTCGTATTAAAGATTTTAACTTCAGTGTGGGTTGAGAGACAGTTGTTTTGAGTTCTGTATGTTGTTTAATTGTAGGAATGCGGTCTTTGCATTACCAATCCTTGCCTTCACGTCGGCATCAGACCCTCCATGTTCATCGATGATGCCACCTAAGAACGTGAAAACTACCACCACTTCCAGAGTTTCTCCATCATTTGTGACTGGCTTGGTTGGTGATCTCTGTGTTACATTTGAGGATCTTGCTTTCTACTATGTATATGTTGAGGCCTACTGATGCGGAGGCTGCTGCCACACTACTTGTCTTCACCTATATTTGTTGATGTGTATGGGATAGAAGAGGTAGGTGATCTGTGAAGTGCAAGTCGTCTAATTACATCCAACCTGTCCATTGTATTCTGTGCCTCCCGTCAGATGTAAAGGTCTTCATAATCCAGTCTATTGCCAAAAGAAAGAGAAAGGGAGAGAGTAAGCAGCCTTGTCCGACACCGGTTTACACTTGGAATACATCTGTCAACTGTCCACCATGCATCACTTTGCAGTGTAGTCCGTCGTATGAATTCCAGATGATAAGGCTGACGATTTTCTCAGCTGCTCACACCATAGTGTTGAAGAAGTCTCCATAAGGTTCTCCTATCCACAATGTCAAATGTCTTCTCAAAGTCAATAAGGTTGGTGTATAATAAGGAGTTCCATTCAATTGATTGTTCAACGATGATCCATAGTGTCTCGATTTAGTTTGGGTATGACCGGTCCTTAAGGAATTCAGCCTGTTGATCTCGATTTCGGGAGCCTACCGAGTCTTTCATCTGGTTCGGCAACACTCTGTTGAAAACGTTTCCTAGTACCGAAAGTATTGTTATTCTTCTGTAGTTGTCATAAATACACAGATTCTCTTTCTTTGGTATCGTGATGAGATATACTTCTATTTTGTGTGTCAGTGGTGGTTGCTCTTCCTCTCAAGTCTTCCTGAATAGAACATGGAACATGTTTTGTTATAACGTATGAATTTTGCATCTCTTAATATATATATATATATATATATATATATATATATATATATATACGTCCAATGATACAGAAAATACGTGCGAGCAGTCTTGGGTGCAATCCGGTTCTTCCTATCTGCCTAGCCCAGCCGTTAAGTCCAGAACACAAATACAGCCTCCGCAATATGAATCATTATTCACAAGCATTCTGGGTTTATATACTAACTAAACAGACCAAATTATACCAAAAAATAGAAAGATGACATTTGTACAATAATTGGACAATGTGGCTGTAGATAGGGGGAAAGTAATCAATAATAATAGTTCCAAGGTCAAAATAAAGGTTATGATAAGAGGAACACGAATACGATTAGGTCAGTTATTTCCTATGCCTATAGGAAATAGGCATATTACATTTGTCCATAAATAGACCTCAGATTTACCATTCATAATTCAGCATATTACATTTGTCCATAAATAGACCTCAGATTTACCATTCATAATTCACCAGGGGATATAACAGTTTGCAGTTTCCTCTACGTGTGAGTTCAGTGATTCATCTAGTACATTGTCAAGTCTTCTACCTTCCCACTCCTGATTTGTTTGGTGGTCACAATTGATTTCTTCGATCGTTGGTGGAGTGACATCAATAGGAATGTCTGTGTGTGCTGCTTTGGTGTCCGGTGTATTCAATGGAACTATTTTATTCAAGAGTTCTTAACAATGTTCCACCCACCTGTTCTTTTGTTCTTGAATCTCATTGATTGTCTTGCTCTCTTTGTGTTTGACTGGTCGCTCTGGTTTATTATATTTGTCTGTCAGTTTCTTCGTCGTGTCACATAGTTGTCTGATATTTCCTTCCTTTACAGCTTTACCCACTGTTATTGCTATGTCTTCCATATATTTCTACTTTTCACTCTGATGATGTCCTCCCATCTTATGTTTGTTTCAGTTTGTTTAGTCTGTGCCTTGTCTTTCTGTGCTATTTTTCGAATGTTGCTAAATACTGTATACATGTTCTTCCCTTCTTGAATCCTCCCAAGGTTTTCGATGGAGATCCATTCCTTATGATGATTCTTCTTGTAGCCCTGCACCTCCTGAAACGTTGAAGTTAATGCTTCTTTGATCCCTTTGCTGTTGACCTCCATAGTAGTTTCTTTCTCTTTCAGTAAATCATGTAATACTTGGAACCTGTTGTTGAGAGTTATCTTTAATTCATTGAGTTTGCTAGTTTCTTGAAGGAAGGCTGTTATGAACGTTCTCCATGTTGTTTCTCCAGTTGTCCAGTTGTTCTTTAGCTTCCCTTTCATCTTGTCAACCAGCAGGTAGATGGTGATCTGATGCTACATCTGCATATCTCCTAGTTCTCACATCTTTCACTGACCTTGTTAATGTTTTACCGATGCAAATATGGTATATTTGGTTCTCCCTGGTGTGATCCTGCTTTGTTTATGTATTTGTATAGGAACATTATCCATCCTATGACAATTTTGTTGAATGCACATGGATTTGCTAGTCTGTCTCTATTTACGTTCCTTTCCCATAGTCAGTCCGTGTAGCTCCATGATGTCTTCACATCTTGTGCTGTGCATTACAACCATAACGCTTAGATCTCTCATAATGAAAATCAGGTCGTTTCATGAGCACTTCGCTATGATTGACTGCAGCTTCACATAAAAATGATCTTTATCGTCGTCATTGCTATCGTTGATGGATACATAACACTGAATAATATTCACCGTGATTTTCTCCTTCTTTGTTTTGAATTGTGCTTTGATGATTCTGGATCAGTGAGATTACCATGGTATAATTGATTTACGTGCTTTGTTGGACAGCATCAGAGCAACTCCTTGAGTGTGTGAAGCATTTTCTTCGTGGCCAGAGTACAATAGCATCTCTCCCTAATCTATCCCTCTTTGTTTAGCTAAGATCCAATGGATTTCGATTATTTCGAGCACTTCCAAGTTGTATCTCCTCATTTTCGCAGCTATTTGACTTATCCTCCTGGTTTCCCACACTGTCCGGACATTCCATGTAACTAAATTAATTACTGCTCTGGTTGTTAGAAGCTGCATCGGTCTGAAGAATCTCGGCTTTCACCATAATGCGTCATGGTTCTTGTGAAAGAAGATAGTTCAACTCGAAGGACAGAATTTAAATGGTTTAAATTGTTTATTCTGATTAGCGTCTTTTTAGCAAAGTTATTTTCTACGAAATGGGGTTGCTGACCAGATTCCCGATCCTCCTCTTCCTTTGTGTGGTCTTGGGGCTGGCAGCAACCGTAGAAGAGCTACATGAAGAGTTAAAAAATGATTTACTCTCAGGAAAATGAAAACGATACAACTGGCAAAAGCTGATATTGCTGGATAAAAATTAAGAAGGAAAATATTACAGGCAGCGAAGAATCTATTGTACATCAAATGTAGACTAAATACTATCCCTGAACATACTGATTTTCGCATTTTATTTACGTCGATCAATTGTTAGAATTTCAATGAATTAAACTCAGTGGCAAATGATTGTGATTTGTTAACAAAATATATGAATACAGTTCATCGTATTATAAGATTAAAAGTATGTCTCTATGACATTTAAATCGTTAACTGAATACATAACCACTCATTCTGAAGAGGGCTGTTGACGAATTGTTCTTAGTTGGAGTGATATTCCTGTTCACTGCACATACTTATATTCATTTAATTTCATTTGTATTCTTTTTTTAGATTCTTCTTCATTTGGAATTTTTATCGAATGCTCTTGGTGATAATAATTTCGAAACACATGTGTCCAAAGGTAATTTGACTATTTGTAATCTTGATATCGGTGAAGCATGTTGAATCAGATGGATACACGTCTGTTCTATTTTTTAAACTGTTTTCCCGCTACTTTAACTCAAGCTTATCGAAGTAAGCTCGACTTTAAATAATAGAGCAAACAACGATATTAAAAACACTATTGAAATTATTTAGTTCGTTAGGGACAAAAAGCATCAAGTTATGTCGAAACGGTTTATTTTTATCCTTGGATATCCAATCCATTCCTTTTCTGACAATAGTTATTATACATTGTATTGCTTTATGTCTCCAAAAGTGTCAGCGAATGTAAAACTATAATTGTAAGTGTTGGGACGAATCCTCACCCAAGGAAATGTGATTTCATTTCATGGTGACTGCTTTCATTTATCTGTTATAAGAAATAGTGTCATGAAACTTAATTCATTTAATGCGTAGATTCATCGAATTGAATTTATATATATATATATATATATATATATATATATATAAAGATGGATAACCGATTTATACATTCCAGGTGGTCCTCTTGGTGAACTTGTTCAGTGGACTGATCTCATTACTGCTCTCTATATACTTGGTCATAATTTAACAATTACCTACGAGGCCACCAATGCAAAGTCGTAAGATTGTGTGTTACTCTATTCTAATTTGTCATGATTAATAATAGATCCTTTAATCATAATCTTTATTTTCATCAAGTAGACAATCGAATAATATACCACAAATCTATGAAAGATTTTTAAATGGTTTATTAACACATGACTTATGAATCTTGATTTGTATGAATAAATATTCAAGCTTCAGAAGATGGTATTTAAAAATTCTATCTAATTATAAAATCTGTAGATTAGGCTAACAATATTTGTTTGTATATTCCTGTTGTCAACATTTAAAACATTAATTGATAAATTCATTTAGTATTGTTTGTTTGAATCTTCCCATCGATTTGTTAGGACTTTAACTGGTCAGTCTCTAATTGGCATGTGTGCATACTGTGCGTATTGCCTCGATATAGTCTTAATTCACAAGCATGGTAAGCAAAGATGGATAGTGGTTAGAAGTGGAATCCAGGATGCGAGAATCGTCAGATGGATGTAACTGCATCTCAGAGTTGATGCTTGTGAATTAAGGCTATATCGAGGCAATGCTCACAGTATGAACATATGCTAATAAGAGACTGACCAGTTAAAGTCCTAAGCATCAATGGGAAGATCCAAACAAACAGTACTAATTGAATTTAAACTTCACCCCATTGCACAAGCAAGTAGCTATCAAGACTCAGTGGTCGAGTGGATAACACGATGGCGTTTGAAGCGAAAGTTACTGGGTTCGAGTATCAGAGTGAACATCAACTCTGAGATGCAGGTACATCCATCTGACGAGTCACCTATAGAACGAAACGCGCGACATTACCACCGTTGGATGCCGACCAGCTCAGTGGTCTGTCGGTTAAGTGATCTGGCGCGAGACCGGTAGGTCCTGGGTTCGAATCTCGCGAGTGCGGGATCGTGGATGCGCACTGCTGAGGAGTCCCATAATAGGACGAAACGGCCGTCCAGTGCTTCCAGGTTTTCGATGGTGGCCTAGCTTCAATTGACTCATGATTTCAACTCTGAAATTACTTATTCATTTTATCAAAATATTTTAGAAAATAAATTTCTATGCCTGAGAATAGATTTATCGAATAATTTGATTTAATAAATCCAACATTTATAAAAAAATTTTAAGGTATACACAAAATTTCTATTGATATCAGTGATAGATTATATGTGGAAAATGAAGTGTTATCAGTGCAAAGACCTTTGAGATTACATCTTTTCGTATGTATCTCATGAATTCGTATTACCATTTGTGTCAGAATCATAACGCTTACTACACTCAATATAAATATATTTCTTGAATAATACTGAATGGAACAATTAACCTATCGATTAATTGATAAAATGCTAATCTTAAGTACTTTCTAAGTATAAGTATCAGGTTTGTTGTTTGCCAATATCATTTATAGATAACATTTCAAGACAAAGGTCAGAGGTCTTTTAAAGTAGCTGAGATATTAACAAACTAATTATTATCAGAAGAGGTCTTACGGATATCATGGTAATTTTAATAGGTGAGATCATGGGTCAATTGAAGGTAGACCACCATAGAAAAACCTGGAAGCACTGGACGGTCACTTCGTTTTATTGTGGGATGCCTCAGCAGTACACATCCATGATCCCGCCTCGCGAGATTTGAACCCAGGACCTATCGGTCTTGCGCGCGAACTCCTAACCTCTAGACGACTAAGCCAGCATTGCCTTCAGTGAATTACTATCTAACAACAGACCTGGTTAAACTCCACTGGTCACTGCTTCTCACTAGAACTTTAGGAAATCCCTCTTGAAGCCAGTTACTAGTGAATATATGTTGATTAATATTAGAGGGGGTTTGGTGGATATTATAGTCAAGTAAAGACTAATGTCTACTATCTTTTTTTCGATCTTTTACATCTAATGATATCGAATTATTTGAATAAAGAGTGACTCTAAATCGGTAAAATAAGGCTTATTAGTGCAATATTTGATTTGCCTGTTATAAGACAGTTTTCCCTACGTTCATTATAAAAAAAGCGTTAGTGAACCAAAACTACAAATTAAATTAGAAGTAGTTTTTTACTTTCTTACGCCTGTTACCCCACATGGAGCAGCATAGCTCGCCCACCAGCATTCTCCATTCAACCATGTCCTGGGCGATCCTTTCCTGTTCTTTCCAGTAGTTACTCATCTTCTTCATATCTGCTTCCATTTCCCGAGGTAATGTGTTCTTTAGCCTTCCCCTTATCTGCTTCCCTTCAGGATTCCAAGTAAGGTCTTGTCGCGTGATGCAGTTTGGTGATTTCCTTAATGTATGTTCGATCCACTTCCAACGTCTTTTCCTAATTTCCTCTTCAGCTGGAAGCTGGTTTGTCCTCTCCCATAAAACGCTGTTGCTGACAGTATCCAGCCAGTGAATGTTGAGTATTTTGCGTAAACAACTGTTTACAAATACTTGTAACTTCTTGACGATGGTTGTAGTAGTTCTCCACGTTTCGGATCCCTACATAACTGACCATCTTGACGTTCGTATTGAAGATGGTGACTTTGAAATTAGTTGGCAGTTGTTTTGAGTTCTGTATGTTGTTTAATTGTAGGAATGCGGTCTTTGCATTACCAATCCTTGCCTTCACGTCGGCATCAGACCCTCCATGTTCATCGATGATGCCACCTAAGAACGTGAAAACTACCACCACTTCCAGAGTTTCTCCATCATTTGTGACTGGCTTGGTTGGTGATCTCTGTGTTACATTTGAGGATCTTGCTTTCTACTATGTATATGTTGAGGCCTACTGATGCGGAGGCTGCTGCCACACTACTTGTCTTCACCTATATTTGTTGATGTGTATGGGATAGAAGAGGTAGGTGATCTGTGAAGTGCAAGTCGTCTAATTACATCCAACCTGTCCATTGTATTCTGTGCCTCCCGTCAGATGTAAAGGTCTTCATAATCCAGTCTATTGCCAAAAGAAAGAGAAAGGGAGAGAGTAAGCAGCCTTGTCCGACACCGGTTTACACTTGGAATACATCTGTCAACTGTCCACCATGCATCACTTTGCAGTGTAGTCCGTCGTATGAATTCCAGATGATAAGGCTGACGATTTTCTCAGCTGCTCACACCATAGTGTTGAAGAAGTCTCCATAAGGTTCTCCTATCCACAATGTCAAATGTCTTCTCAAAGTCAATAAGGTTGGTGTATAATAAGGAGTTCCATTCAATTGATTGTTCAACGATGATCCATAGTGTCTCGATTTAGTTTGGGTATGACCGGTCCTTAAGGAATTCAGCCTGTTGATCTCGAAGTCGAGCGTCTACTGTGTGAGAAATAGTAGTGAATGCCACTTTCATAAGCCATCAAATGGGTTTCAAATATTTTCAGATAATTCGCAAAATTTTCTCCAACCATAGTAAGCAGTGAGTAGCTGAAGCAGTTCATGCTTATGCACTCAGTATTACAGACAATCAGATAATTACCCTAGACTTTTTATTTCGAAGAAAATCACGTTTTACCTGATCGAAAAAACCATAAACCATATACATAGTAACATCCTTGATTTATATGATATGCTTGAATGTTTGTATGTACTGTATGATTGGTTTTAAACATTTGTGGTAGATGAAAATAAAAGAGATAAACTGTTATATTAATAGGTAACGCTCTTAAAAGGAACAGGTACTGTGAAATAAGGAATTAGTTGAACTATCTCCAGAAAAAGTCGAACCATGATGTGCTCTCAGCACCAATAACAATGGTCATAGCTCCTTCACTAACATTTCAACTGAGCTTCAGCTATTTTTCACTTGTGCAATATTCTCAAACAGCCTTCCTAACTTTTACATAAGTTTGAAAACTCATAGTTGGATCTAGACAAGTAGCATGACCTGATGACTTCACTTCAGAGGTTAGTAACAACAGTGATCTGACATTATCGCTAGAACTGACTGACGTATTAAGGAGAGTCTTCTATTTTAAGCTAACTCAATTTGACGTTCTGGATGGCTGACTATCTCAGTCTAAAACAAATCATTTTGTGCTAAATATGGACGAATCCGTCTGTCCAATATAACAAATTATGAATAATAGTAACGCTCATAACAATTTGGTGCCTAAATATAACTCGAGATTAGTAAACCGAGCAAACTAGGCAAATTCTAGTCTGTACCTTAGATGGACTGATTGAATTTATACTTTTTAACGTGAATTTAAATACTAACTTCAAAGTGTATCCAAATATGTCTATGGAGAAATCCTGAGATGATGTTTATAATTGAATGATGTACCAAAAAGTAAGTAACCATCTAAAGTTTCTATAGTCAGACACTGTGAATTGAATATTAGATTGGACGAATCATGATTGCGATTGGTAGCTCTAAGTCTCGTTTAACAATCACTAGTACCCTATGTAGAGTTACAATGTAAAACTAATGGGAAAGAAATATTTCTCTCTTTTTATCTTTATTCTCAAAGTTTAACCTTGAATTTTTGCTATGCTTCAGATGACTGATTACTAACAAACGAATAATTTATCACAAAAGTGACTTACAAATACAGAGTCGAGTTAAGTAGGGATAAGCTAACTGAACATCCCCGTACATATATGCATCCATAAATGTTGACATAATGTATGCAATAATGGTTGTTCTGACTATAAAATTAATCCAGCATGCAGTATGGCGGATGTTTATTTATGACATTCGATAATATCGGCGACTCGATGTCAGTTCAACTGATGGTCGCTTAAAATTGGCTTTATTTTTTATTTGCATAGTTGGTATTTTATTTTTATAAAGAAGAAAAGTTAATTGACTTTTTCACCTTGTCTCTTTTTATGACAACTAACAGGCTTCTTTCATATTCAGATCATGTACCATGTTTGATGAAAAGTAATGAGTACGATTTAATATACACAGATATTAGAGGATTCAAACGATTAAGTCCCACACAAATCCGGTAAGTTCTTGAACTATATTTTTATAGATTTTTATAATATTATGTTGTTATCATGATAACACTGTTTTCAAATACAGTTAAATCCTTGTAAGCAAAGATGGATAGAGGATAGCAGTGGAATCCAGGACACGCGTTGCGTCCTAGTTGGGACTAGTCAGCTGGATGTACCTGCATCTCAGAGTTGATATTCACTCTGAGACTCAAACCCAGTACCTTTCGTTTCAAACGCCAGTTGCAGTCCTAAACATCAATGGGAGGATTCATACAAACAATACGAAGTCGATTTAAACTTCACCCCATTGCACAAGCAAGTGGCTATCGGGACTCAGCGGCCGAATGGATAACGTGATGCCGTTTGAAGGTACTGGGTTCGAGTCTCAGAGTGAACATCAACTCTGAAATGCAGGTATATCCAGCTTACGAGTCCCAAATAGGACGAAACGCGCGTCCTGGATTCCACTGCTAGCCACTATCCATCTTTGCTTACCATGCTTGTGAATTTAGGCTATATCGAGGCAATACGCACAGTATGCACATATGCCATTAGAGACTGACCAGTTGCAGTCCTTAACATCAATCGGAGGATTCAAACAAGCAATACTAAGTGCAGTTAAATTCTTTTAAATAAATTACTGAGAAAATGAAAAACATTTAAAACTATTTTAAGCAGAGATGGATAGTGGCTAGCAGTGGAATCCAGGACGCGCGTTTCGTCCTATTTGGGACTCGTCAGCTAGATGCACTTGCATCTCAGAGTTGATGTTCACTCTGGGACTCGAACCCAGTACCCTCGCTTCAAACGCTATATCGAGGCAATACGCACAGTATGCACATATGCCAATTACAGACTGACCAGTTGCAGTCCTAACACATCGATGGGAAGATTCAAACAAGTAATACTAAATGAATTTAAAACCATTGTTTTGTGTAACAAATTTCCTTCATCTTAGAATCATGAAATAATTTATTAGACAAACAATAGAAACGTCATAATACAACAAAACACTGAAGAAGCATTCTTTTTATTACTTTTTCTCATAATTAAGTACGCCATTATGCAAATTTCGTATATTGGATACATTTGGAACAGAAGCTAAATATAATCGGAAGGAAGAAACGTGGGGTGGATTACATCTACATTTACAACAATTTTATACATTTTTTCGTAAGTTATCCATCGTTCCTTATGTTTTTTCTGTCACGTTAATATTTAAATGCTAATTTTGAGTTTAATTTCATAATTGTTGAGATTATGAAGCAGCCTGAGTTAGACAATCATGGATGACCAGGAAGCACCAGATGGTTGCTTTGTCTCGACACGGATGTCCTTAGCAGTGCCCATCGAATACTCTTTCGGGGATAGAATCCAGGGCTTTCAGGTCTTGGAGTGAGAGTTTAGTCATTAGATCACTAATCTGGCATCCATTCGTTTACAAGTTTAACTTAATTTGCTTTGTGATTTGAGTAACAATCATAGATCTCAGGAAACCTCCGTACTTATAGTTTCATAGTGTTTTGTTGAAAATGCTTTAAGCCCCAGAATAACTTTAAACTAATTTACGGATAAGTGTTGTAGTTCAATTCTATTATATTAATATGGTCATCCTTTTGTTAGTAAAGATATCGAATGAAATACACCTCGTTCCTTTTTGCCATAGTGATTTTCTGCATGTATGTATCTTCACTTTATTTGTGACAGCTTCAGGCTTATTCTCTAATATTGTTTTGTATAACAAGTACTTTCCCAACCACTGTAAATTAGTCTTTTCTATTTGAGTCATACCGTTTTCAGGATGTACTAAACAGACCAATTATAATTGATATCACCGACTAACGGACCCTGTTTCACTTTTATGGTTTTCCTGTCATATAAATATATACTCAGATCATATTAAGTTCAGATCTCAACTATAGCTGCTATATTGGCCTATCGTGTAATGGTAGAGCTGAAACAGAATACAGATTTTTTCTAAGGATTTTTGATACCGAAATAATCGTTTTAAAAGTAACTAATGCCACAAAAAACAACGATTCACTTGATGGACATGATCGACATTGAGCAGATATTTCTTGATCTCAGTGAACACAATCCTAGATGAACAAGAGCGTCGACGCTATTAAGAATGATATTTTTATTTTTTCAAGAGTTAATATCCTTGTACAACTAATCTTGTCATTTGTTAGGAAACTTCGAACGTACCTCATTACAAGCACTGTTAATTGGTTATCTCAAAGTAGTCAATATAGAGAAGCAGCATTGTACTGAATCATTATCAAGAGCATGATTATGATTGATAATTCAAAACGTCAGTTCATCTGTTAAAAGGGAAGTCGAAATCGTGAAAAAAAATAAATAAAAGTTCGAATATTTAAAACATTCTATACTGTTATTATTCTATGATAGCATCGTTAGGTCAATTAAGTTCGTGGCTTCATTTAAAAAAACTGATATTTAATTAGTATTATATGTTCAACAAAAGCCTTATTAACTGAAAATATCAGTACACTGATAATAAATGTGTTTTGTATAGTTAGGGTTTTCTATTTTGTTATACAATATATACTTTACTTCCCTGTTATGAAGTTTAACAGTGCAATGAACTAACGAATTCATCCAGATTCCTATTGTAACGTCTGAATGTGAGAAACGTTTTAAAAAATTAGATTCTCTACTACTCACAACTAAATGCACAAGATTGCTTTAAACTGAAATAAATCTACTACTACTACTACTGTGGTGTGGTCTACTTATATCTATATAAGTAGTATATGGTGTGGGTCAGACATAGAATGTATTTTCGCAGAAGACCGATGAGCAAAGAACTGAAATGAAGCGCAATCGTTTGGAAAATGCATGAGCAATGGAATAAGAGAAGAAACAGTCAAGATTGAAACAATTGGTTATTAATTTGCAAATTGACTGTTCATTGTTTGGTTATCGGAATTTACTGAGATAGTCTGTAACTTTTGCTTAAATACATTCGATTGTCCACAACTAGTGTTCTGTTCACTACACTACTACTAATACTAATACTACTACTACTACATCATTGAACAACTGATGTAATTGTACTCATTAAAAACTAATTGCATATTCTGTTACATTTGAGTTTGATTTAGTAACATTTTATTTATCTTCACTTTTCAGAGTGCCCTTCATATTTCCAGTACAATTTATGGATTAAATAATAATGTAAATAAATAAATAAATTTTATTTCATTCTTAACAAATAATTTAATGAATGAAATCAATAAAGCAAATAATTAGTGAAATACCTATTTAAAGATAAGATTAAAGAGGTTTGATGTTGTTGGAACGTTGGTAATCTATTTTCAAGGAAGCTTGGACCAGATTGCCAGGCGAAACGTTGATAATCTATAGTTGAATGTTTCATCATCGATTAGTAATGACTTTACAGCAGTGAGATTATGAACTCATCAAATCAGATGAATAGAGCGAGAGAGACACACTGGAAATCAATTATTGAAGCCTATAAAATACTAAACACTTAAGGGAAAATAAAATATTTTGTTTTAAAATTAATGGAAGGGGTTTTTGTGGAGATTTAGTATTTTCATAGTTGAAAGCGTGGATTGGTTGGAGTTAGATATAAACACCATCGGGTGCCAGCTCAGTGGTCTATCGGTTAAGTGCTCTGGCGCGAGACTGGTAGGTCCTGGGTTCGAATCTCACAAGTCGAGGTCGTGGATGCGCACTGCTGAGGAGTCACACAATAGGACGAAACGGCCGTCCAAAGCTTCCAGGGTTTCGCTGGTGTTCTAGCTTCAACTGATTCACGCTTTCAATTAAAATTAATGGTCTTTTATTTTTCAAGCTTGGATCATTCAAAATAATGGTTATCACATATTGTTATGATCCATTTTGATGACTATACAGTTCAGTGTGAACGTACTCAAGTCATGCCAGATAGTGAAAAATATGACACAACTGTTTTCTCTTCTTTATTCCAGACTATTATTCATAAAAATTAATGGTAAATATGATTGTAAGAGTTTAGTGATAACATTTCTTCACTTAACTAACTTCATCCTATATGTCAAAGCAACATCTTTTACGCATATAATGTATTTTGTTGTTGTAATCTTATTGTTACAGATTGTGTTTTTTTTTAATTTTCAGCTCATTCACCGGATAATACATTTCTCGGTTTTGTTACAGAAATCTTCCCCTTTAAATCTAAATCTAATCAATCATTGTCTAGGCCTATGGCTCTTGTCTATGGAAAAGAGTCATATATGTGGAAAGTAAGTTTTCAATTGTACAATCATAGTTAATTTGTACGGTTGGTTAGATAATAAAATTCTCATAGTGCATTGTAAATTTTTTTTCTTCTTAAGGATAATTTAAGTTCATTTGCTTTTGAATAGTCAGTAGCACTGTGAAATTTATTCAGATTTATCAATATTTTTTGAAACCAGTCAAAGGAAATAAAGTGATATTAATTTCGGGACTTAGAAGGAAATAAACCTATTGTACTGTAATCAATTGTAATCTATTTCCTTTAGGGTACACAATCAAAATATGAATAAATATTTCATTTAAGAAAGTAACAAATAATTACATCTTCACTTTCCCATTTATCAAAACTTTTAATGGATGACTATATTTGGTCATTTTTATCCGAAATCTCATGACGATAACTTGCAGATTAATGAATTACAGCATAAAAGTTTTTATGACAGTTAGACAAAATAAGTGATTCACATTGTGGACATTTTGATTACGTTGACTAAACTATACAATTATTGGATTCTGAAGTCCTGAACAAAATACTTGTGATTGTAACCTATAAATAATTAATTCAGGGCATAGCTGTTTTCTGCTATTCAGTTCGAATGAATGATGTACATTTTTAACTTTTTGGTAGTTCATAATACTAAAAATACAATATTTTCATAAACTTATCTTCATGTCATTTGCAGGTTGTTGGTAATAAACTATCAGTTTGCTGATATATTTCTTAAGTAAACTTTTCTCTCCAACTGTTGTTTCAAAATACTGTGGTAAAATTCCATTAGTATTGTTTGTTAGAATCTTCCCACTGATGGTTAGGACTACAACTGGTCAGTCTAATTGGTATATGCGCGTACTGTGCGTATTGCCTCGATATAGCGTTTGAAGCGAGGGTACTGGGTTCGAGTCTCAGAGTGAACATCAACTCTGAGATGCAAGTGCATCTAGCTGACGAGTCCCAAATAGGACGAAACGCGCGTCCTGGATTTCACTTCTAGCCACTATCCACCTTTGCTTACTGTGGTAAAATGTTTCAATTCATTAAACTTTCAAATACTTAACGAGTTCTTCCTTTGCAAAAAATCAAGTTTCAGAAAACGATACTTTGTTAATATCTTTAGCTTCATTGTTTAAGATACATTTGACTCTTGGATTACACTTTTAAAATGATATAATAGGCATGCAAAAAAGCGTAGTAGATGGTAGACAAGAAATCTATAATCTCTCGGCCTGATGAAAACACTATAATGTATTCCCTGACACTTCCTTGATGTAATACTTATAAAAAACGACAATTATTTCTGTAACAAAAAAAGAGCAGTAACTATTTGGACATCTTCACCTGGTTGTTGATTGTTTACACATTAAACAGCCAATTAAGTTGAGATTACTTACATATTAGAATTCGCTTTCAAAAACAACCTTATCAGGGTCTATTTAGAAATATTTATTTTTCTGTCTACGTAAGTAGTTTTGTATATATTTGGTAAAAATTGAAAGGTAATTGTTACTATAACCTAAGATCACCTAGTGAACTATCGCAAACTAGAAGTCATTAGAACATTGTTTTTCTTCCAGTATGATATGCCCTTGACTTATAATAAAAACAACTTAATTCAGCTTTCATAACAAGCATGATACCTGTGAATCACTGAGTCAAAACTCCATGATCAATATTTTTAGCATCAGACAGTTTGTTATGTTATATGATCCCCACTCCGATGTCATTAATCCTCAAATGCTTCACACTTGCTTGTCTCCAAAGGTCAAGTCTAATGAAGTGCTGCAAAATATTAGGCTCTATAAAATCTTCAGAGAACTAGGTGAATCCATTTTTGAATGTTTATTTCATCTCAGTACATTATTCATAAGTTAATTTCATCCCTTTGGGTCCTTGACAATGAAATAAAAGTAACAAAATAGTAAATTATATTTCGAGTAATACATTGGCTTCATTTTATGTTTGTAGAATCTTTGACCTCAAAGTAATAAGAAATAATTACCAGTATTTAAGTCAATATTACTTAATATAGTGCTCTTAGTCAATCAAATTATTCCTTGTTTCTTCATCATAACATCGGTCCATTAGATACATTGTATGACTCAACAATTGAGCTTAATTATCAGTTACATTATTTCCTATTGTAATTAGTTGTTTATTTGAGGGCGAATGAAAATAACGTAGTCTTATTTCTTGTGATAGTGAAGTAATGGTAGCTCCTCATGCATTTCAAATCAATAGATGTTTATGAATGTTTTAAGTTCCATTAAAGAAGAAGCAAATACATCTACTGTAAGAAGAAGTAAACAGAAATGCTTGATGGAAAACATATTTCTCAGGAGATGCTTAATGGCAATGTTCCGAATAAACGACTACGTATTCAATGTCATAGCAGTCTTTTCATTCAATCCATCACCAAGTAGAATACAAACTATCAAAACTATTAAATATATCATTTTACCTTATATAAAAACATGAGGAAATACAACCAAATCTGCTAGGTCAGTAGTATAAAGTGTCATTCAAAGCCCGACAGTGTCTGATCAATTAAAACTTCGCAAACTAAAGAATCCAATTACAAAAGAACAAGAGCCAAATATAATCTTCAAAACAAACAGTTACAAAAGTGAGAGATGCCAAACTGTTTGAATTCACTGGTCCTTTTCTTTATCCTCGTATACACCAATTAGTGGTCAAACATCATGACATATTGCGTATTAGATCAATGCAAATGGACATTACCGCTTAATGGAGATGAAATATACATATATTTCATAATCGTTGATTTAAGTAAAAAGACGTGGTTTAACTGTCTGTAATTTATTTATATTCAATATGTGTTTCCCGTCTCTTCAAATTTACGTGAAAATCTTTTTCTTTTTTAGGATAAAACAAATTATTTGCGAATTTTGTCGGATTACTTTGAAATACATGGGAATGTGTTGGATAAAGTTGAGAACTTACCAAAATTTGTACATATACACCAAATACAACATGGTCAACCATATTTAGAATTAATGTCGAAAGCTCAAGTAAGCTGCTTATGTAGATTTTCATTGATTTTGAATTGTCTTGTTAAAAATAAGAGAATAATTTCTTTCAATGTATTATCATTGAACTGATTCAGAACCCAATTGATAATCTGACACAGTTTATATGTTTGTTTAAAACTTATTTACGCCTGTTACCCCTCGTGGAGGAGCATAGGCCGCAGTTTGTTTAAAAGTATTAAACAATAAATAATGTTCAAAAAGAATAACGATAAATTTGAAAGTACATAGCTGACGAACTGGCACTTCATCATAAATAGTCATTAGCATCGTTTATTTCTTAAGTGATCAGTCAAATATTAACAGCGAACACTGTATTTGACCCATATAAATTCTTTCGCATAGAGACTCAATTGATAAACAGAGTAAAGGTAACTTTAATGACAGTACTTCGTCACTGGAGAATTAAGACAAGTGACAATTAATTTTAGTTATACTCACAACGTTCTGTCCTTCTCTAAGTTCTCCAATTATCTATTCAAATTGTCACCTATCATTTTTTCGAATGTGAATACTATTACTAAAATAGTGATAATGGATCCAATGAATTAGTAAACCATCTTACCCATGCAACAAAAGGTTTTGAATAAAAGATAAAGTTTACTCTGTTCTTTATTCCCATAATACCGACCTTCAAGTTCAACGATCTGGAAATACTTGTTAACTACTTTATTTGGAGACAGATGTTTCACAAATCTAATATTTTGGTATCTTATTTCTTAGTCCAGTTGGAAACCGTGATCGTCTTACAGTCAAACTATCCATAAATGTCAGACTTATTTATTTATTAACTAACTGAGGATGCTAAAACTACAGAAATAAGCAGAATGGTTGTCATCGTTGACTACTGCAACCTATATAATTATTAATGATATAAAACGTGAGATTTTCTAACAATTATCTTGATAACTGATTTGTTAGTAAGTAAGTAATCTATGAGATTGCCTCGCAGCATGTTCGCGTGGTCATTAATTTAAATTTTGGTAGTCAACTCTTGATCAAGTTTCGACCAAGGTGTTATCCTCTTTATCACAGCCTAAAATTTATGATGGATGAAAATAGTCGACGTTGATGTGATTGTGTCGTATTCTTCGCTAAGTCTGTGTCGAATTTTACTGATCGATAAGACGTCAATCATTCATATTTGGTAGTTTGTATGTATAAAAAGTCATGTTTTCAGTTATATCTTCCTAGTTTATTTCCTCTAGTTATCTATTCACTATAAAGGGGGAACTAAAGTTATGTGAAACATTATCTGACAGCTTAACGTGACTGATTTCTTATGGAACAAACTGCACTTTTATGATGTCATAATGGTACATTTTCATATGATATTTTTAATTAGTGGAGATCTATTTAGTTGAAATCAATTAAGGTGTAGAGTTAAGTTGTAACTTTGAAGTTGTTGAGAGATGAGTTTTAATTGATTAACTGTAATGGAATTTTGTATTTATTTTTGTTTCTCTTATAACATAAACCACTGTAATGTTAACTAATGAAATATTTTCTAAAATATATTGTAGATTATGATTGGATTGGGATTTCCTTACGAAGGTCCTGCACCTTTAGAAGCAATCGCTAATGGTCTCATTTTTCTTAATCCTCGTTTTGATCCGCCTCACAGCAGAAGCAATCAAGCATTTTTTGCTGATAAACCTACTTTGCGAGGTGTAGGTTTAATTTTTTTTAAATGGTATTTTTACAATATGATAGCAAAATTTTTATCTATATCATGTTACGGACAATTAACTAAATTATTGTCTTATCTTTCCATGAAAAGTTACAGCTTGTATACATCAGTTGTATTGTTTCCAGAACCACTTTGTTTATTCATATTGTAAACATGTAACCCTGTTTGTTCATAAGAGTGGAGAAAATATTATCCGGACGACAGCAATAATAGATTATGATGAAACGAATATATAGAATATACTTTCAGAAGCACAGGTTTATTTATACAAGGAAGGTGTATCTGAAATCAAATATAGTAGAGACATGGTAGGCTTCATATTATTCTTAGCCCGCTGATTTTCAATACCATATGCCATATCAGTAGGTAAAAATTTCTACTTTAAAGGTTTTATTGATATTTTTTTACTTTGTATTCAACATCACTAGATATTTAATTAGGATCAGTTTGTCATGCAATAGTAAGTAGTGTCGTCTGTGTTCAATAGTCAGATACTAGTCTTGTCCATTTACCCAATTATTTCAGTATTTCGGTTTAGCTTTTCACTCGTAATGATCTGTATTCTTCCTTTTCTCACTGACTATCCTTGTGTTAGCAATTCATGACAACGTTTCTTCCGATGGACACTTTATCTTTATTCAAAACGATTTTAGTTTTGCTAAATGCTGATATGTCTTATCATGCCGTTTTATGCTGTTTTCTGATTTAAAGTACATGTAGCTGTGTAAGTGCTGATGATGACGCCACAGATGAGACAGATCTGAAGGTAATGAGAGCCAGAACAAATAATGTCAATCTGGTTCAACGTCTCGTCATTCATTTGTTTTTAATAAATCGGGAATATGACGTTTCAGCAAGCTGATTTCGACCTCTTTATTAGTCCCTCTAAACTGTAGATATTCGATAACTCGTTGTTTTAAACCTTTACTATGTCCCAGAGATTGTTAATATGCAGTGGCGATACGGAGTGAGTACATTTTAGGTTCAGTAATATGTTTGGACGTTAATGATATTTATGCTTATCATGATCATAAAACTGACGTTCCAGTGTTATTACGGAGATAAAAGTAGAGGATAGTTTGTATGTTTAACTACTGACCAGACCCTAATCGAAGCACGCTTAAATAATTCACTGGAACACTTTTCAAACTTCACGAAATGCTGTATTCAAATACATGCTAAACCAAACGACGTGTAATACAAATGAAAATGGGCGAACAAATTGAAATGGAGTACGTTAAGATTTACAAGTATTATACAATACCTACTCATAATCGAATTGTCTCGACGTGATACATGAATGGTAGGTTGACTGTGTAACTGGAGGGGATTTCCAAATGCATGATCACTGATTATCCCAGTCTTCAAATTATACAGTTCGCTAAAAATCTTCGAATATTTCATCAATATAACATAAATATCTAATTCACTAATGGTGTCAATCAGATTTCTATTCGAGCTTTGATTAGAATGATTCAAGAAACTCGCTCACTTGTGTAGGAATTTAGTTAAAATTACGAAATAATGCTTCAAAATGAGAATGGACTATGATCACCACTACAATTCGATTACGCGCCCAGAAACGACTTGGTTCCTTTGATAACTTGCAAATCAGAAGATTTTAATTAGTCCAGATAAAGTATATTCATTGGCGATCTCGTGGTATCGAAAGAATACCGAGACGTGCCAACGAATACAGGCAATAAGAGCAGAGCGTAAGAAAGTTCGAGAGGTTTCCGCCTTGTATGAGCAGGGAGCTCGACAATGACGGCCACCGGCCCAGAAGGCACGGTGGGACCAGCACCAACCCGAACTCGCTTCCGAAACCGCCTTCTGGCGTGGCTTGGAAGATGCCCGTTTAGGACGATTCGTTACGGCTTTTCGAGATCGTGACCTGGGGCGGGGGACGTAGAGGTCTGGCACATTTGACCGGTCTCGAAATCTGAGATGGGTGTGTATGCACCTATCCCTATACCTATGAGACGAACGTCGCCTAGCATCGAGATCAATGTTTGAATGTGAAGTAGAGGCAACTGTATAGTTGTCTCGGTAGCTAATTCATGCTAAGATTTTGTATGCTATGAGGGCCACCTGGTTGAGTGAAGTGTCCTCGAGCAGAGCCGTAAGAGTTGGTTGAATACTTGTTGGCAGAGTTTCGCGCCACAGTTCTTTGACTATCTCAGAGTCGGCTGTCGTGTTTCCTGAGAGAGATTGCAGGCGCGTGAGGTGGTGGCTCGGTTTATCATCACCCATAGGGTGACGTGCTAATAAAGTCCTCAGTCGTTCCTCTCTTGACGGGAGGAAATGTCGAAGGATTGCTTCCTTGAGACGATCGTAAACGTTTGAAACGTTTGAATGGATAACGGTTAAATGATTCCCAGGCAATGATTCCAGAGCGTAGGTGCACTTTACTGTTGATTTTTTATGCGGCGAATTTCAAATTGAGACTCCAGTGCCGCGAACCAAACTTCTGGATCGTGAAGGATAATTTGGACCGGTCGAAAACTTATTGCCTCTACACCTCATATTAATGCTATTTTTATCATTATCCACCATGTTAAGTTGCCAGAATATTATATATTGAAAGATATCAATATGAATACTTGCAACAGATGTGGATAGATAAGTAATAGACTGACCGCTTTGATCTTGTTTGGAAAATTGGACAAAGTTGAATTGTGCTCGAAGAATTGGTTTACCAGTTGTGGTTAACCAGATGTATTGCGTGTTCGCTTGTCGAGATTACCAGATGTGGTGGCATCGAGTCTTGATGGACTATGATCACCACTACAATTCGATTACGCGCCCAGAAACGACTTGGTTCCTTTGATAACTTGCAAATCAGAAGATTTTAATTAGTCCAGATAAAGTATATTCATTGACGATCTCGTGGTATCGAAAGAATACCGAGACGTGCCAACGAATACAGGCAATAAGAGCAGAGCGTAAGAAAGTTCGAACCAAAGAAGGCGGATAGCAGAACAAGAAGTGAGTTTGGTACAGTTAAACAAGTACAGTAAAACAATCGCTGGTACAATTGGTTACAATAATAATATTTGTTTCTATTATTCCAATCGTGTTCTTATCGAGACAGGCCGGTCACTACAGTATCATGTATTGAGGTGTAGTCGTCAAATCATTGATTCAGAGTCTTATTTGTCTGATCGATTGTGCAACCATGAAACGCTTACTTATTTAATTCTCATTCTGTTTGCATAACAAAAGATGAAATATCGTTGGTAAAAGCCATCACTTTAACAGTAATTCAAACTGACGTTCACATATCAAAGACCTATACAAGCATATGACAATTTCGAATAAATGTATTTTCTATTGCTATGGAATTAAAGTAATGAATTAATAAAGTTAAAATTCGGTAACCAATAAATAGAGAAAAACTTCATTGTATCAAAAAAATTGAAAATATACTTTGAATGGATAGTTTATTTGAAAGTGTTTAAATTCAAGTTTGTACAAAACGAGTTCCGAAAAATATTTCAATCATTTTAACTACCCTCCCTAACAGTCAAATTAAGTCACTTCCGTGAAAGATAATACTCGTGATTAAGAGGCTTTTGACTATCACCAGTTGATACAAACATAAGACAATAGAGTTCGATGTTATCATCAGTTATCTAAGTAGCTTTGATACATTGTTGAACAATCGACTGAACAAATGTAAATTTAATCCTTGTTCTCTAAGACAGAACTAGAATATCTATCTAGAGAGTTTGATAATTTAGTCGATGAATAAACGATTGTTAGTTTCATAAAATAAGCAGATTGTGTTAACTAAACTAATGCTACCAACATGAAACTAACATCAGAGATATTATTAGGCCGAAACAGGTGGTGGCTACCGAAACAATTCAGAACGTATGTTTCGTCCTATTCTGGACTTGTCAGTTGGGTCCACCTAGATTCCAGAGTTGCTGTTCATTTCAGAATTCTAAATGAGTACCTTTTGCTTCAATCGCCAAGATGCTATTCACCTACATACTGAATCCAGATATGCACTGACTTGTTCAATGGGATTAATTTCAGTTCATTTGTATCGGTCGTTTGAATCTTTCCATCAATCTTCAAGACTAGAATTTATCAATTTATCACTACTAACTACTGTCCATCTCTGCTTAAAAATGCTCTAGATTTGGTGGTTATATTGAGACAATCCACATAGGATGAACACATGCTATGAGAGATTCATCAATGTTAAATCAAAATATCGATAGCATTATTAATTCACTCGATTTCCTTGATTCAATTATGAATATCAATTTAAACTGCAGAACTTTATCTCACTAAACGTTGCTTCGCTCTTTACAAATGTTCCACTCACAGAAATGATAAGTCTCTTATGACTATATTGAAAACAACACATTCGAAACTTATATCACAAAGCATCATCTAAAAAACCCACTTCTTTCATGTACTCTGAATGCACAATTCATATTGTTTTAAATAAAAATCATTTCTACACAGTCCAAAGAATTAGATCAAAGAAAGGTTATATTAAAAATGTATGCACTACCTTGACATTGGTAGTTCACTAATTCAAACCCGAAATGTGAGTTGAACCTCTCATCCTTCCATGGCCCTAACGGCCTTTTTCAGCATGTTTTGATCATTAATTTGTACTTTCTAGATTGTGACAATTGATTGGTAATTTCAAACGAACTGCTTACTGTATGGTTGTCAGATTTTAGTGAGATAGTCAATTGTCTCCATCCGTATTTTCTTCAATACATTTCTATTTATTGCAACTGCCGATTGTACCATATTTGAATACAATATCGTAGATTATCTTTGTTGAACAAATGGAAAACAATTTTGCTTTATGATAATCATTAATAACCAAAATGCCAAATTTTCCTCCACATTAAGTATAATAAACTTGTAGTGCTATATTAAGTCCATATAGCTTATTCTAGTTTTTGAACAGGACAATCTATTCATTCTTTTTTAGTCACATTTTGACCATGTCACTTATTAGCTTATCAACCTTGACTGTTTTTATGTAGGCGTATGCGTGTGCACTTTTTATCCTATTCATCACATGTCTGTAAACTATTTTAGTCTGACTAAAAATATCGATTAATGCTTAATCAAATTGAGTTGGTTTACATTCCCTCGTCAACCGCGCACCATTTGGCTTCTCTCTTTTCTCTTCTCTTCTTCCACTTCGTACCTCTGATTGTCTGTACAGATCAATGAGTGTACAAAACATACGTATTGAAAAGTTCATTCTCGTATTTGACTTATTTACTTCCATTATTCACAAAGACTATTCAATTGGATGATTATATATGAGGATTGGCGTCATGTATATTTCGATAGTGATCAACATACGGCTTAGTTGGAATCAGACTCAGGGCCACAAAACTGTTGAGCGCGTTGTCAACATCCTCCAATCTAATTGGCGTTCAGTTATCGGGCAGTTAAAAAGTAAATGTCTGTTCTGAATTGGCACTTAATCGATTTCCTTATCTTAGAATAAATACTCTCTATACACTTCCATCAAAGTTCATTGCTCATTCAAATATTTGAGTTATGTAACTATTAACAACGTCTATTTGGGAAGGTTAAATTAATCATTTGAATTTATAAAATCCATTCTTTAAGGTTATTATCCTAATTTCAGTTTGGAATTACAATATTATTTGTTTATATATATTTATTAAATTCATTAGCATGGTAATGTAGCTGTAAATAAATCCCGAAAATCAATAGCTCTGTAAGTGTTCGACATTGGATGTTAACCACATTAGTTTTAATGAACTTATTTAGCTGAAGGCGCTGGGTCATGCATCCACACCAGATCACGTTTTAGAACGGCGTGCGCAACATCTCCTACGATAATTATCCAGATTAAATCAATCACTTCTCGATATATTGATAACCCATTAAAAATATATCTTCCAACCTTCTCTCTCCTGACATTCGATTTTACTGGATGGGCGCAATTCGATTAAGGAAGGTGTTATTGGTAAAGTGTTGTCAAACTACAATACATGTGGTATCTTCAGTAACATTTTCAATAACAATCATCATAAATTCAATTGTAGCAACTTAAAACTACACTTACATACAACGATGTGAAAGTGTTTTTTCTTTTCCGTTTTTTTTGCAATTTAATTTTTATTTAAGATTTATTATAAACTTTTAAAATTTCAATTTAATTCTTCAATAATAAATCATTTTACAACATTCCTGTCACCTAGTATTTTTTGTTTGAATCTTCCCATCGATGTGTTAGGACAGCAACTGGTCAGTCTGTAATTGGTATATGTGCATACTGTGAGTATTTCTTCGATATAGCCTTAATTCACAAGCACCGAGTCCCAGAGTGAAAATCAACTCTGAGATGCAGGCGCATCCGGCTTACGAGTCCCAAATAGGACGAAACGCACGTCCTGGATTCCACTGCTAGCCACTATCCATCTTTGCTTACATTTCATGTCAGTCTACTTTGAAAAGTGATAAATTTAACCAAATATCATTGAATATTTACTACTCTTTTGTATTATTTTCCTTTTATTTCTTCAGCTTACTAGTCAACATCCGTATATTGAAAATCATATCAGTGAACCATATTCTTATTTGATTGATATGGGCAATGAAACACAAATACGCGAAACTGCTAAACGTATTCTGACAACAATTAAAGTACGATTTCACTATTCTTCTTGAATTTTTATATATTTGCTATTAATATTACTCTAGAAAGTAAGTAATCAAACAGTTATGAGGGATTTCCAATTGTTAAAAATTAAATAGCCATAGTTATGTGATATAATAGTAGTAAAACACTAATAGAAAAAACAACTAAATAAACACTTGAACACAGATGAGATTGTAACATTTGAGATTAGATAATCATAAAACACTAAACCTTTCATTTAAGAGACATTGCATCAGTATATTTGAACAACTGAGCTATTCATTCCCTCTGAATATTTAACTACCAACTGTTTATTGATTTTCAGAGTGGAAGTTATCGTCCACATGAATTTACTCCATGGGGTTTTATTGAACGTCTAAATGCTTATTTGACACGCCAAAATATCTGCGCCACACCCTTTTACAAAGACTTGATCCGGTCTCTAATGCCGATAGCAAAAGCTGGCGCGCCTTCTACATTTAACAACTTAGATGTCCCCGGCACTTCTGTTTCATGGCCTCCAGCATCAAGTTTAAAGATAGTTTTGGGGTCTCGTGGTAAATCTTGTGCAGATGTGTGTATGAATCTGGGAACTTCAGAACATGCTTTATTACTGCCTTCCAATATTTCTGCTTACTCTATTCGTAACAACACGCAACATCAACAAATACAGAATGGTTACATTTACTATCGTTCTATTCACTCTACGCCTTCGCCAAACTTGTCTTATCTTTATACGTTTCGCTGTTCTCCAGAACACTTTCCAAGTGTTAATCATCGACTGAACCTTCAGTATTTGGGTGTTTCTTGTCCTAATATTACCTACACAACTAGTTCAATGGCACCTTATTGGGACAATACAGCAAGATCATGTGTATTTCAAGCTAATCATGAATGGTTTGACTGTACTGCCTCAGGAACCTCTAATGGGTCTGATGTATTTTCTCGTTTTTGTCCTTGTCGTGATGCTCTTCCTAACCAGATTTCTTTATGTTCTAACTGTTTATGAAAACATTAAACATACATTTGTCCAAAAGACTAACATTTTATTTGGTTTTACCAACTGTTATATTTATATTTCTGTAATAATTTTTAAATACATTTATTGCAATATTTAAACATTCCTGATGTTATATTGTCAATGAGAAACTATTATCTTATTTTTTTTAAATGAAATCCCACCTTTATAGTACTGAGATAGAAGTAGATTTTGTAAAACGGAATAAAACTTTATTGTGGCATGTATATTCAGTGATTTTTTGTAAAAACAAAATAAAGGTCACATATCTTCCCTATTTGTCACACTTTATATGTAACTACATTGATACTCAATATCTATTGTTTCCTTGTATCAATGGTAAAGAAACAAATAATTGTTTGGTTATATATAATGTACACTACACTACCGTGATTCTTAAAGTGTAAACTCAAACCAAGTCATCCATTCTTCTGCTTCACTGGCCACAGCCTTTGATTGAAGATTATAATAGTACGATAACATTCTTTCTGGCCTTTCCACACTACATTGGAGCTTCAGCCCGGTTCATTACTAAGGAATACTACCGGATTTAAACTTCTTCATTTTGCTGTTAGTGCCATCACGTGCAGAGGAACCTTTGTTATTCAATTGAACTTATTTGTGGTTGTTATCTCAGAGAGCAGCTTACAAGTAACATTCATTTCATAACAACTGTTACCGTTTTGTTGCTCAATATACCTTTTTTATGGTAAGCAGAGATGGATAGTGGCTAGCAGTGGAATCCAGGACGCGCGTTTCGTCCTATTTGGGACTCGTCAGCTGGATCTACCTGCATCTCAGAGTTGATATAATACCTTTTTTATATTTCAACTGTGACTTGTTACCTTTTGCGCTACTCATAAACATGCGCTTAGGTTTGTAGTGTTATTACTTTTTGGTATACTATTGGCAACTTTGCGTATTGTTATATTTTGAGTAGACTCTTTTACTGGGATCCATCACAACTTTACGAAACACAACTACAATGAGTAAAGAAGTCAGATATTCGAGAACAGCAGAATTGTACAGTTTGTATGCGTATTACTAAAATACTAAACTAATAATGAGATATTTGAAATATAAAAATAGAACAGACATTCACAAAACGTATGTTAACTGCCCTTCCATATATTTAACAGGAAATGCAGAATAATTCTCAAGCCTATAAAATCTTCGTAGGGTTTAGATACTTGAAATTCAGGGTTAACTACAGAATTAGTGTTAGAGAGTTTTAGTGGACTAAACAGTAGTAAGTAAAAAATATAACGAGCAGAAAAACTATGGTACGTATGACAAGAGTTCAGAAGTAACAGTGGAATAAACGACAAACATTAATACAAATGTTACTTGCAGTCACTGTGTGTTTACGTGTTTACTAAGTTCACATAATCAATAAATTTACAATCATGAAATATTGTCTTTAAACATGATATGTACACAAATTTTCTTAGATTATATTTCACGGAGAAGTATTGAGATGCCAACACTAAAAATATGTATAGTCGGTTTATTAGTAGACATAGTAGATTAAAAATAATGAAGTCGAGAACACGGTATGACAAAAGAAGCATGTAGCATTTGTGAATAATAATCAACTGTAAAGTGTATAGTAACCAGGGAAATCAGAATTACAGATCACAACAAAAATCATTTACCTAACAATCAGTAATGAAAAATGTACAATGGGGATGAAGTTTAAAAGACAGAAATATTTACGTAAAGTATTAAGATATCATGTATTGCTAAATCATTTTCTTATAACTTGTGGTCTAGATGTCCTGTTTAATGTATAACGTGATAATACCGCCAATTAGAGAGCAATGATTTGTCGATCGGAGCAATTACACATAAAACAAGTGCAAACAGCCCAGAGTCTTTATCAGTCCTTCTTCCTGCCTAGCCCTGCTTGTTAAGTCCAGAACATCAATCTCAGCCTTTTCAATATAAATCATGTATTTCAAACATACTGGGTTTATTTACACACCGAACAGACCATATCGTCCCATAAAATAGAAAATAACATTTATACACGATCTAGCCAAAAGTAGATGAGAATATGGGATATGGTAATTGATAGACTGGGCATAACTCAAGAACAGTAAATTGTATAATAATAGTTCATAGGTCAAAATAAAGCTTATAATAAGCGAGACATGAATATGAATAGTTTAGCTATTTAACAATTATACGATAACATTATATGCATAGTATTGGTTCATAAATGGATCCCAAAGTTACCATTCACTATTCTTATCCGGGCATACAGCTAATACTCTCTACCTGAAGTGTCCGGAGGAAACACGAATGTAAATGTAGATTTTTTACGAAAACGGAAAGTACGAAAGTTATGTGCAGAAGAACCTGGTGTTATTTCAATGGAAGAATATATAAACTATTTAAAAATATGAATTTGTTATAGTAGTTTATGCAATAAACTAATATGTGAAACTGTTTCATCGATCAGTGTTTGCGAAAAAGCTGAAGAAACAATGTGAGGTATTTTTACTACTGTTTTATACATTATTAGTCCGCTACTATTACGAATTGCAAATATAATAAGTTCAGTTGTGCTCACTGAGTCCTCCTATTTGATTAAAATGAACGTTTTCAAGAGAACTTATTGAACTTATTTCATATTTCAGAATATCATACAATGTTCACTAACTCTACCATCGATTTACACAGAAAAATAATATGAATTCATCAAAATTGAAGAGGTTCACACTCTCATAATGAATTAAAATATATACATATATTGGTGTAATGTAAGATGATTAAGGTGAACGTAAATCCATATATGATATTTGGTACTGATGGAAAAACTGTTTGTGTTAGTGCAAATTGAAGAAGTAACAAGTAATGTTGTACAAAAGAATTAATCAATAAAATGCACATAAATCCTTAGCCCATTTGTTGTTCTACTTCAATGGGTTGTATTTTTTTTTAAAAAATTGAATGAGTTTAACTGGCGGTTTCTGGCAATAATGGGTCACATAGAATGACTGGATAAACTAGTCTGATATTTTCACAGTTGAAATCATGAGTCAATTGAAGCTAGACCACCATCGAAAACCTGGAAGCACTGGACGGCCGTTTCCAAGTTTTCGATGGTGGTCTAGCTTCAATTGACTCATGATTTCAACTGTGAAAATACTAAATTCTCAACAAAACCCCCTCTGATCTATAATCATATGCTCACTAGTGACTGACTTCAAGAGATATTTCCTTGAGTTCTAGTGGGAAGCAGTGGCCAGTGGAGTTCTACCAGGTCTGTTGTAGAGATATCATCTCACTGAAGACAATTGGTGAACGGTCGCTCAATATCGTGGATTGGTTGGAGTTAGACATTAACACCGTTGGACGCCAGCTCAGTGATCTATCGGTTAAGGGCTTCGGCTCGAGACTGGTAGGTCCTGGGTTCGAATCTCGCTCGCGAGAGTGGGTTCGTGGATGCGCACTGCTGAGGAGTCCCATAATAGGACGAAACGGCCGTCCAGTGCTTCCAGGTTTTCGATGGTGGTCTAGCTTCAATTGACTCATGATTTCAACTATGAAAATACTAAATTCTCCACAAAGCCCCCTCTGATCTATAGTCTGATATTATCATTTTTCTGCTTTCTGTCAAGGAAGTCGGTTTTGAAGATCAATGTAGATTGTTTCACTTTCCTGTTCTTGTCAACCATAGAACATTTTACTAAAAATTTGATTATTCATACACATCATTTATCAAGAAATTTTATCAGCATCCAGACAATAGTTCACGAAAACCAAACGAATTTGTAAGTGATTAAATGTTTCATAGTTGAAAGCATGAGTCAATTGAAGCTAGACCACCATGGAAAACCTGGAAACACCGTTGGATGCCAACTAAGTGGTCTATCGGTTAAGGACTCTGGCTCGAGACTGGTAGGTCCTGGGTTCGAATCTCGCGAGTGCGGGTTCGTGGATGCGCACTGCTGAGGAGTCCCATAATAGGACGAAACGGCGGTCAAAAAAACAGTGCTTATAGGTTTCCCATGGTGGTCTAGCTTCAATTGACTCATGCTTTCAACTATGAAACATACGAAATCTCCACAAAACCCCTTCTGATGATTAAATGTTTACCAAATTCTAGACCTTAGGTATGCGAACGCGGAGTAACTGACTGTGGTTGATGCATGGCATGCAGTAGATGACTGACAAACATGAGTGGTAAAAGATATTTTGTACGTGTTTGTTTTCATGCGTGCAAGCGACAAAAAACACATTTCATATTGATTTGGCGAGAAACAGATTAGGCAATTGGAAAGCGAATGACATAAAAAGTTTATCTTATTCCAATTGTGTGTGCTGTGTACTCATCACATCTTAAGAAGTATCATATATGCTTAATTGTATAATATTGTAAATATGTGTTCGCATAGTAAGTTATTGAATTATTATTATTATTGTTAAATGCAACTTGGTTCAGTTTATACAAATCTGACTGTTAATCTAACTGTAAATAGATCATACAAAATGTGATATGTTCTTAAATCACCTCGCTTTATTTCGGGAGTCAAATTGAAATTTTAAAAGTTTATAATAAATCTTAAATAAAAATTAAATTGCAAAAAAAACGGAAAAGAAAAAACACTTTCACATCGTTGTATGTAAGTGTAGTTTTAAGTTGCTACAATTGAATTTATGATGATTGTTATTGAAAATGTTACTGAAGATACCACATGTATTGTAGTTTGACAACACTTTACCAATAACACCTTCCTTAATCGAATTGCGCCCATCCAGTAAAATCGAATGTCAGGAGAGAGAAGGTTGGAAGATATATTTTTAATGGGTTATCAATATATCGAGAAGTGATTGATTTAATCTGGATAATTATCGTAGGAGATGTTGCGCACGCCGTTCTAAAACGTGATCTGGTGTGGATGCATGACCCAGCGCCTTCAGCTAAATAAGTTCATTAAAACTAATGTGGTTAACATCCAATGTCGAACACTTACAGAGCTATTGATTTTCGGGATTTATTTACAGCTACATTACCATGCTAATGAATTTAATAAATATATATAAACAAATAATATTGTAATTCCAAACTGAAATTAGGATAATAACCTTAAAGAATGGATTTTGTAAATTCAAATGATTAATTTAACCTTCCCAAATAGACGTTGTTAATAGTTACATAACTCAAATATTTGAATGAGCAATGAACTTTGATGGAAGTGTATAGAGAGTATTTATTCTAAGATAAGGAAATCGATTAAGTGCCAATTCAGAACAGACATTTACTTTTTACCTGCCCGATAACTGAACGCCAATTAGATTGGAGGATGTTGACAACGCGCTCAACAGTTTTGTGGCCCTGAGTCTGATTCCAACTAAGCCGTATGTTGATCACTATCGAAATATACATGACGCCAATCCTCATATATAATCATCCAATTGAATAGTCTTTGTGAATAATGGAAGTAAATAAGTCAAATACGAGAATGAACTTTTCAATACGTATGTTTTGTACACTCATTGATCTGTACAGACAATCAGAGGTACGAAGTGGAAGAAGAGAAGAGAAAAGAGAGAAGCCAAATGGTGCGCGGTTGACGAGGGAATGTAAAC